CACCTCCACCTATGGATGCCAGAGCAGCACACAGATGAAGCAGCTGATTTGTTCCGCACTGATAAAAAAAAAATTCCCAGATGAACCAAATTTAATTACAAAGGCTGCAGGGTGAAGTGGGGAGCCAACTACAGATGGCCCACATTCTCCAGTGTGTTGAATCTTGCTGGAGACCACTAACACAGACAGCCCTGTCTCCACACTTCCTGCATGGGGCCATCCACCTCTCTAATCTCTAACCAGTGTAGGTTCTGTGTAATCAGTTTGTGCCTTCCTTTCCCAAATCTCACTGGAGACATGGGCTTGGCTCTAGTCCTGCAGACATCCTTCAACTGGTAGCCAACCCTGCTGCTGGAAGCTGCAGAACCCGTCCCAGGCCTGGCCTGCTCTGGCTGGCATCTGCAATGAATCAATAGGCCCTTTGTTTCAAGATCCTGTGGTCTTAGAAGTTTGGTTTAACAGTTCAAGAAACCTTAATAAATCTTTGATCTCAGCTTCCCTGGGGTCTACAGGTGTTAACAGAAAGAGTGGAGAAAGGCAGGGAGACTCACAGGACTCCTCCCAGGAGAGTGGGCTTTTAAAGGTTATTAAGAAGTGAGGTAGGCTGGTGTTAGCGAACCTAGGATATATGTGACACTGCCTCCCACCCCACAAAAAAAGGGAGGGAGGGAGGAAGGGAGAGAGAGAGAGATGAAGAAAACACTGAAACACTGATAGAGGAGTCACTGTGGAGCCATTTCCATAGGGTGGAAACCCATAGTTGGTTATTAAGAAATTAAGAAATGGGGTGAATCAAACAGACTGTGCTGGGTAGAGTCCTAACAAGGCCACAGTTGGAGAAGTGGGTTGAAGGAATTAAGGCAAAAGTTCACAAGAGAGTTGGTATATTTGGACCCACTCTCTCTCACCGATTGTATTATGGGGATGAATGTTGCTTGTGACTGGAGACTGTTTCCTCACCCAGTACAGAAAAATAGAAGGCATGTCAATTGTCTTTCAAGGAAATTAATTGGACTTTCTCTGGTGAGCCCACAATGTAGGCAGAAGCTGCAGGGCATATGTGGATGGACCTTGCATCTGCACCCTGTGGTGCAGTTGTTCCTGGGCTCCAGGAGGGACCCATGAGTGCCTGCCTCTCCAGATTGCCTCAGTGAATGAAGGTTATGGGCACCCTGAAACCTGAAATGCCACAGGCACTTGGGTGACATCAAGGGAACGCTAATGGAACAGTAGTGCCCAGAAGAGCTCCAGGGAAAGCGCTCCATGGATTGTGCGGAGGCATCTATGAGTTGCTTTCCCCAGGACTACCTGGGACTGGGTGAGGAGCTGCTAGATTCCGTCCACCCTTGGGCAGTGCCCCATAAACATCTCGAACTAGCCACTAAGAGCTTCTGGGCTGGCGGATGTTTCTGGGGTTCATGGACATACCCTGTTTGGCTGCTCTGATGGGAGAAGGTAAAGGCAAGTCAGCCTGTACAGAGGACAGTGTCTAAAGCCTGGTTGAGTGTTACTGACATGTGGGCAATGAAACCTGGCCAATTAACAGGATGCCTGTGTGGGGCACAGTTCTATGGAAATTTTGGGGTATGTTGGAGTAGGAAATGTGGATGCCATCTGGAGAACACCTTTTCAAGTTCAGAGGTGACTGGAGTTGATAAACAGATATTCTTTTTTTTCTTGTGGTACTGGGGCTTGAACTCAGGGCCTTCACTTTGAGCCACTCCACCAGCCCTATTTTTATGAAGGGTTTTTCGAGACAGGGTCTCGCGAACTATTTGCCAGGCTGGATTTGAACTGTGATCCTCCTGATCTCTGCCTCTTGAGTAGCTAGGATTACAGGTGTGAACCACCGCACTCAACTTGAAAGCAGATATTCTGTGTGCTCACTGCCAGTGGCCACTTGCAGTGAGTGGATGGGGGACTGCAGCATACAGAGATGACTGGACCTAGACATCTAGACATGCTGCTCCCAACCTGCTCCATGGAGCAGACACACTCACACTGCCAACAAGAACCATTCCATCTGCCTCAGGAGACTGAGGATGTGAAGGCCCTGCACACAGCTGGTCAGTAAGGCTGATGACTGGGGGCAGCAAGTAGGTCCTGACAGGACCAGACCCCAGCTCTGGACCAGGCTTTGTTTACCCAAGTGTGCAGAGTGCTGCAGAGAAACCAGCAGGGTACATGCATGCATTTGGGTGACTGAGCATCGTTTCTTCAGACAAGGGCTGTACGCTACAACCTACGATGTCCAGCTGTGGGTGGAGAGATCCTCTCAGAGCAGCTGTTGCACAGAGAAGTGGAACTGGGAGTTGAAAGACTGGTTGTCTGAAGTGGGGTAGGGAGGGGGCAAAGGCATAGAAGGGCTGTCTCACTCACTGTCAGGCGTGTGCTAATCCCCACAGGCGTTGGACCAAAAGAGGGTCCCAACAGATTCCTGTTTTCCTGGTGGATCTGGGAAAGAGGCACAGGAGGGTGCTAGGCTGTCTGTAGTTCTTGCCAAGAGAGGGCCATGCTGGTATGACGACCATCTGTGATTTCTCCTTCCCCTGCCTGATGCTGTGGTTCCAGAATCCAGGTCTCGGAACCACAAGTGGAGGAGGCAGCTGACCTTCCATCAGAATTCCTGTGGGCTGGTGGCAGTGGTGGTGGGAGGTTTGCCTTCACCTCATCAACAAAATGAGGTCAGCACTGATGCAGTCGCATTGCTTGGTGGTGGGCAGGGCCTAAGCTCTGCGCCAGTGCAACCCATCCTGCAGTTTGCTCAGCAGCGGCCACACCTAGTGTCCCTGCCAAAGGTGAAGTTTGGGTCTTAAGGGGGAGAACAGTGGTTGGGGGTAAAGGAATGAATAAATAGGCCATGAATGGGGAAACTCAGAGCTGCATTCAAACCTCCTGGGAGGCTCAGATGCAGGAAAAGGTGAGGCTGTGTTTGCTGGGACTGTTCCTGCTTTGGACCATATCAAGATCAAACAGAAGCCTGGGAGACTCATTCCTTCAGAACAACGATGGGTGTAACCAATTATTAATGGCTGAATGTAGTAATGTTTCAGAATCTTTGGAGTTGTATATTCTTTAGGTAGGTTTTGTTGTTTGTTTTGTGGTACTGGGGATTAAGTCCAGGGCCTTACACATGCTAGGCAAGCAGTCTACCACTTGAACTATGCCCCTAGCCAGTCGAGTATCATTTTGATATGAGGAATCCATGTTCAAACACCAGGGGTGGCCTGTGATACTATATATAATGTCCTCATCTACAGTTCTTGGCTCCCAACTCCCTTCCCAGAACAGTCCATAGAAACTACAGTTTCTCCACAGAACCCCAAAAGATAGTGTTCAGGTTTTGGGAAAGCTGAACATGTGGAGGCTCCTGCAGGGCAGTATCCACAGAGGGCATGGAAGCTCCAGAGGTGACCTTCCTTTTATGTCCCACACACATCTTTATCTGTACCTTTTGCAATGTCCTTTGCAACAAACATAAGTAAATGTTTCCCTGTGAACACCGTCAGCAAATTAATCAAACCGTGGAGAGGGCTGTGGGAGCCCTGGTTTACAGCTGGTCACTCAGGACAAAGGGAGAAGACAGTGTCTACAAGCTGAGAAGGGTGGCTGTTGAGGACCCAGCCCTGAGACACCTAGATCTCAGACTTCAGCCTCCAGGACTGTGAGGTATGTCTGTAGCATTGTCACAGCAGCTGAGAGGACACATGAACACTGTCACTGTACTGTTGCTCCCTTATAGCCAAGTTGTCATTTCTCTCGAGCTTCACTGCACAGCAAGTAGGACAGTGAGGCTGTGGGCTGGATGGCAGGGGTTTTTATCGAGTGTGTATCTGCAGAGGTGTTAGATCTTTCTTCACAAAGGCTATTGCCAGCACTTTGTGCTGATGTTCTTTACCAAAACGACAGGCAACAGAGCACCTAGTTGCTGTTTTCACTGCTTTTCTCTAGGTTCTTAGTACGATTCACCTTCTTCAGTCTTTGCAGCTATTCAGCTTCCTCCTCCGTCTCACTTTTCCCTACTAGCTTTTGTCTTTATCAATCTATAAAAGCTCTTTACATATTAAGGCTAATATTAAGACTGCTTACTTCTGTGTACGTTTCTAGTATTTCTGTCCCACCTGTTTATTTCAATTGAGGTAGGTAGGTGGTCGATGCTTTGGAAAGATTCAAGAATGGGCACTTGTGCCCATGTCCTTGTCTACTTTCCTTTCTGGCCATCTCCTATCTGTTCCACTTTTCCCAGGTCCATACTGGGGAAAGTGGTCTATATTGAGTTTGTCTCTAGTGTGTCTTCCTGTGACACTTTTCTTTGGTGGCTGTGGACATGATGAGCCACACTGAGACCTCCTGCCATGCTAGTCAACCCTCTGGGCTGTGGGCAAGTGTCTCTGTGACAACAGATGGAACCCTCTTTGAGCCTGCAGGCAGATGTCTGACTGTTCTAGAGCAAGCTCAGGAGTGCAGGTGACACCTCAAAGTGTCTTCTAAACAGTACAGTGCGGGGCTCATGGAGTCACACACAACATCCCTCTGTAGAGAACCCTCATGGCCCACACAGCAACATCATGCAGATTCCAGGCAGCAAGGACTTGTCACATGAACTGCACATGTAGGAGTACTGGGTCATGTGTGATTTTATGTCACCTTCAGAGAGCATGAGTCACATAAACATTTGATATCTAACCTAAACCTCTAAAACTGTATATTCAGTTGGTACCAAGTTCTGTCTGGAATGGTCTGGTGGCAGCAGCCCAAGGGAAGCCCCCATGTTCCCAGAACCCAGTCTCAAGTCTACCAGGTTTTGCCTGTGCTGTGGCTACCCTGCCCTCCCTAGCCCTTGGTGGCCTTGGACAGGCTGCTCTGATCCCTGCCACTGGGTAGGTAACCAACTGAGAGCTAGGCATGCCTATAGCTTGGACACTGAGGATGTCTGGTCACAACTGAAGAAGAGGGCATGGTCTTCGTCCTGTGGTCACTCCCTGGCCTCTTGCTGTAACCATACTGCTGACCATATGTACAAGTATCCTAAGGGGGAAGCCCTCTACTGTGGCCAGGGTGGGATAGAGGAGAGGGGCTGTCTGTTCATCACTCCAGACTCCACTCAGCCCTTCTACAGGACCACATCCCCCTACCCCCACACAGATCTCCACTCCCTCCTGAGCTGGATGACAGACATTCTGGGTGTCCTCTGCTATCCCTCTCATGGTCTGTGCTCCTGTGGGTGGGTGGTCTAGTGGCTCTACACTGCCCAGGTCAACGTGTGTGGGAAGTCATGTAGCAGTGACCTCAAGTCAGCACGACATGGGGCACTGAGTGAGGAGAGACCACGCGGCAGCCGCGGCAGAGGGTCAGGTTTAATGGTCACTCTAAGGGACGTCGTACATTGTTCAGAGCCCAGCCCCCACCCCCTTGGCCAGGGACACAGCCAGGTGCCCTCAAACCCCAGGCTCTGCAAAGGGGGGCCTGCCCCCAAACCCCAACTATATACAACAAAGCCCACCCTACTGGGCCCTGGGCAAGGCTGTAGAGTGGAAGTCATGGAGCCCTCACAGTCTACTAGCTACTCAGCTCTTGGACCTGGGGTGCTGGGTCTAGATCCCACTGCGGTGATTGGCGAGGTGCCAGGATGGGGCCCCTAGACCACGGCTGGCAAAAGCTGAACTCAGCAGCAACGAGGGAAATGGGTGGGCTTGGAGGTGGGGAGTGGCACCAACCTCACGCCTCCTCTAAGAGGAAGGAGGCCAGACCTTCCCTCCTGCTTCCCAGGCCCAGTGCCGGCTGAGGTCAGTGAGCATGGGTGGCAGGAGAGGTGAAAGCTGACAGATGCGGTCAGTGCAGACAGGGCCAGGCTGGGCAGCCTGGCGGTGCCGGCCTCACACAGATGGGCCACCCTGGTGCTGGTGATCAAATACGGCAGGGCTGAGGGGCTGGGGGGACAGAGGGACCTGAACACACACTGGGCCGGGTCTATGCTGTAACTAGTAGCATAGCGCTTTACTAGTTAACTAGTAAATGCTGCTTCCCTTCAAATTGTTTCAGGGTTATAAAAAATTGCACTTATTTCTATGAACCCCGTGGAGGGGATTCCCAACGCTGCAGCCTCCAGGCGAGGCATGGCAGGTCAGTGCCTGGCCGCCAGGAGTCCACTGGCTGTGGGGCGAGGTTCTTCCCGGCCCCAAGATTGTGGGCTCTGTGGCCCACTGGTGCAGCGAGGACCAGACCCCACGAAAACCTGAGCAACGTCTGAGGGTCCCTGAAGCAGATCTGGGCAAGACCAGGGCCATGCGGTCCTGGGTGCAGGAGGTGGCCCAGCCCCAGTTTCCCGGTCCAGAGTAAGTGGCCTGGTGGTGCTGGGCATGGCCCTTGCCCCTCACAGGACGTCGTCAAAGTCCAGCAGCTTTGAGTGCTGGCGGCTCTTCCACAGGCGGTATAGCCGGAAGTCAAAGTAGGTCTCAATCATCTGCTTTCCTGGGTGCGAAAGGGCGAGGCCAGAGGTTTAGGCCTGGCCAGGTCCAGAATGCAGAGGGGCTTGACCTGCTGTGGCCCCTTAGCTTCACAGTTGGACTGACTCACCTTGGGCAGACAGCTCCAGGGGCGACTCAAAGGTGACCCTGTAAGGAGTCATGAGGGTTCTGAGGTTCTGGAACAGCTGCAAGAGAAGCAGGGCTGTGAGTCGGGGGTCAGGGAAGGGCCTACACCCTCGAAACTCCCCAAAACAAGCTCAGTTCAGGCACGGGGGGTTTCCCTGGGAGGGTGGAAGAAGGAAATGAAGTGCCAGTCACGCCCTCTCTCTTCTCAGGTCTGGGCTCCAGTACCTTCTCTCCATTGGGGTTTCCCAGAATGTAGCAGCCCATGATGTGGATGACGTTCGGCTCTGGGTTTACTTTGCTCATCAGGCGACTCAATCGTTTCCAGAAGCTGTGGGGAGGGAAGAGTCACAGGTGGCCTCAGCCCAGGTCCCCAGGTCCCCAGGTCCCCAGGGAGAAGCATTGTGGCAGGAGGAAGCTGTTGGGGGTTAACCAGGTTTAGGACGACCTCCAGGCCTCCCCTCAACCTGGGCACCCTCCTTACTCACTGGATCATGTCCTCTTCTTTCTCCACCTTGGCAAAAGTGGCCACCTTGTTCTTGAGCAAATAGAGGTGTCCAGGGCCTCCCTGTAAAAGGCTATGATCAGGTCTCCAGGGAGCCAGGTGGAGGCTGGCACGAGGTGTCTATGTACTGCTCCACACGTGTACACATGACTGTGCAGACAGGTAAACCCCCACATAACACACATGCAATCCTGGCCTCCCCTCCTGTACCGGAAGGGGGGCCTGGGCTCTACCTGGCAGAAAATCAGCATCTTCCAGATCTTGGCCCCCTTGTGATAGACGTTCAATTTCTTCTCTATCTCCTCTGTAGATAGAGGGCTGTGAGTACTCCCCTCCCCAAGCAGGGCTACCTTCCCCACCAGTGACCAGAGATGGGGTCAACAGGACACATACCCAGTATGTCCTCGAAGGTTGCGTGCTCATGGTCCTGCGAACAGACAGGTCACATGTCAGAGCCCCTGGCAGCCTCCCCTGAGGCGTCTGAGCGTAGAGTGAGAGGCCAGGTAGGACCAGCACCCCTGGGGTCTGTGTGGGCAGAGGGATGGCTGTGGGGAGGGCAGGCAAGGTGGGACACTCACATAGAGAATGGGGATGATGGAGGGGTCGTCCCTGCGAATGACGGTGGGGATGTATTCGGCCTTCGGCACCTTGGAGGAGATGAGCTGGGGAGACAGTAGCTGCTCAATGTCCCAGGCCCATACCAGAGTTGAGGGGCAACTGGAGCCTCTATAGGTTGCCCCACCACAGCCAGGAATGGAGCCCAAGACCCCATGCTATGGATGGAGCCTGGGCATGGGGGGAGAAGAGACAGAGGAAAGGGAGAAGGCCTCACCATGACCTTGGGTGGCAAGAAGCCATCAGTGTCGCAGGCCACTGCCTCAAGGCCCTTCTCAGTGTCCCAGTCCAGGTCCTCACAGGCCTCGTCCAGTGTGCAGTGTGAGCTCTGCAGATCACTGCCTGGGAGGCAGGAGGGGTCACCAGGACAGTGGCCCACCCTCCACAGAGCCCAACGTGCATATTGGGTGGGTGGAAGGGCCACATAAGGTCACTGCCACCCCAGCAGGACCTCACCACTGGCACCAGGGAAAGGTAGCCCCACAGGGGAAGAGGGAACACTTAGGTACAAGCCTGGGAACTTGGGCCCCTGTAGTAGCAGCAAGCACAACCCTGCAGGTGGCCCTGCTCAGCACTACTGTAGCTCTTAGTTAACACCATCTAAGAGATCAGAGATGCTGGGCAATCCCATCTCACAGAGGGTAAACTGAGGCTCAGAGAGCAAAGCGCAGAAGCCTCGTGACACTGTCATGGGATCCTTGGCAGGAGTCTAGGCCTAGGGAAGCTTCTGGGGGAGGTGGGCTGGCCTATGCCAGACACCTACTGTCTCGGGAGTCGTGGGAAGTGTCGGCTTTCATGGGGGTGGGGTCGCTCCAGGACCGGCTGAAGCTCCGCTCGCGCCGCTCAGCGAACGCTGCATTGAGAGCAAAGCAGTGAGAGCAAAACCCCCGTTAACGGGGGCAAGGGGGACGTGGAGGGCACAGACAGCAGACTCAGGCCCTAGGCTAGGGATTAAGGGGGCTGAGGAGAGGAGAAAGTGATGTGGGTGGGGCCTGAGGTCACATATGGTAGACAAGGACCAACGGCTGAGTTGGCACAGGAACCAAGAACACTAGGTGCCCAGCTGGGGAGCCTGGGAGACACTGGAATTGGGCAAGAGGCACTATGGAGTAGACCCATGGATGGAGCCTGGGAGACACAGAACACTGAGGCAAGGCTGGACAGAAGATGGAGCTTGGGAAGGACAAGATCTGGGAGGAGGAGGCAGCAAGGAAGGAGGCCTAGGTGAGGTAAGGGGGCGGAGCCTGCAGGTTGGAGCAGGTCTAAAGACATGGATCTTTTTAATAGCTGCCAGCAGCATAGCAAAGCCCCAGGTGGCCAAGCGCAGAGCTGCCCACCCCATACCCAGGTCTTACTCTGGGCCTTCACCCGCCGACTGCCAACCATTCGCAGGTGTTTGCGGAAGTTCCTAGGGGAGGAAGCACCAGGTGATGAGAGCCTTGAGGTGTGGGCAGCGGCCTCTGTCCACCTTGTTCTTGACACTGAGTCTCCACGTTTGCCCCTTTGCCTAGGACCACCAATGTCTTCCTCACGGCTCTGCACTCTCCCTGGCTCCTACCTCTCACTTGTCCACAGCTAATGCAAAGGCAAATCCCACCTTTCATCCTACTGACACCCCTCCAGGGCAATAATTTGCTCCAGAACAGAGGTGTGGTGCACACAGCTTGCCAGCAAGCTGCCTCTTTCCCACCAGCTGGTACCCTTTTCACTGTACAGCCGTTAACCTCCTCTCCCTGAGCCTGCACCCACCCTGAACCCTGCTAGGCTACTTTTCCCAGGGGATTCAGGAGGCTTGCCTCTGAGCAGCAGTTGGGGCCATCCTGTGTGTACCACTCCTTGGTCTGTCGGGGGCCCATAGGTACCCCCTCCCACCTCAGAGGCAGGTCCTCTCTTACCCCAAACTTTGTGCCCTGCCAAGCCTCCCATGTCCAAGATGGACAGACAGGCTTCCTAAGTACACCTCTGAAGTTGTGGGGAGTGGGGAAGGGTAGGCCTTGCAACTGGCCCCATAGCTCTGTGCTTCAGGGCTGAACAGACATGGGTAGGTGAGCTGGCTGAAGTATGACTGCCAACGTACACTCACAATGTAGGTTCAGGGGCTGAAATGCTGCCCGGTCACATGGCCTCTCCTGCCTGCCACGTCCCCAGAGCAGGGCCAGGCCAGTGGTCGCCACCACCCTTCCCCCATCAGGTCTGCCAGGGCCAGGAGGGCCCTGGCCAGCCAGTTCAGACCAGAGACAGACCCTGGTGGCGAGTGGCTGGCAGGCCCTACCTCTGGATTACAGACGCGGAATCATTCTCCCGTTTCCGGCGCTTCCTCTCCGCGTAGCCCCTGAACACCCTGGGAAACCGCCGCAAGTCAGCACTGCCCTTGGTTGGAGGCAGGAGGGACACAGACGTGGGAACAGAGGGACAAGCAGAGGGCCCAGAGGGGCATCTGAAGCCTCCTGGCAGACCCTGCTGTGGCCTGGCTGCCCACTGGGAGCTGCATCCATGGGGCTCAGCAGTCCTCACTGTCAAGGCCCAGGTACCCTGGCCTGCTCAAACCTATCTGGAGGTGGGAGGATCCCCCCAGGACAATGTCTGTGCCCTTAGGCATGAGTCACATGGGGTACTTACGAGATGCTGAAGCCACAGTGGGAAGAGGCAGCGTGAGAGAGAAGAGACAGTGAGACTGGATCCACGCTTCCCTCAGCCCCCTCAAGGTCCCTGAATTTAGTTCCCTCCTGGTCACTGACTGGGAAGGTCTGTTAAGTACCCAGTCACCAGCAAGATGCTGGTTGGGCTGTGGGTCAGTCCTGAAAGGGCACTGGAAGCTGAGTTGCTGGGCCATGTCAGGAGGTGCTAAGCCCTCAAGCTAGGCTGGGGGTTGGGCCTGCGGAGGCCTGACCACACACTGCCCACCTTGGGACAGCAGCTGAGGGTGGGAAGAGCTGCTTTGGTATGGGAGCCCTGAAGCAAAGATAACCTCCCAGATGCATGTCAGGCAAAGAGGAGCAGAACCCAAGGAAACCCTCTTGATTATAATCACCTGTGTTGCAGATAAACCCAGAAGAAGAATGCAGTTTGGGGTAAGTGTAAGGACCAGAATATCCCTACTCCATACACCCCCTGATGGTGCCATCAGCTACAGCACTGAGCATGTCCCCAGGGACATGAGGATAGGCCACAAGGGACTGTACTGTGTGGGGTCTGTTTGGGAGTAGAGGAGTGAGCACAGGGAAGTAGTCAGCCCTGCTTCCAGAGACTCAAAGCTTCAGCTTGGCCTGCCACAGCAGGGTGCATGCAGGTGTTCAGAAGCCCCTTGACCCTTGTGGTTACTTGACTCACGCTTGCATAGTTGTAGTTGCTGTCTGGAAGCTGAAAAGGTTTTCCTTGGGGAACCAGGTGCGGATAGGGACGTCATCTGGATGAGAGAGAAGGGGCTGTGACTGGTGTGGACAGGGCTCCTGAAGCCTGACCCCCTCTGTTGGGAAGGAAGCACTGGGCCCCAGACCACCACCAGCAGCAGAGCGTCTGGCCCTCTCCCTCCTGGGAGAGGGCTGGAGTCTTCACCATTGAAAACTCAGTGACTTGAGGCTTTGACTCTCTGCTTAACTCTCCCTTTGGCTGTCCCAAGTGCGAGAGGAGCATACTCTGAAAGGGCATCCTGTCTCGAGGGCTGTGCAGAAAGGATATGGGAGATCACCTTGCTGAGGGATATCTCTCTCACAGTGCCTACAGTCCTTTCCTGAAGTCCAGGCATGGGGAAGCTGGAACTCCCAGAGAGATCGCTATGCGGGGAGGGGCAGCTACTAGGCACAGCAGGCTTTTGGAGCTCCCCCCATTCCTGCCACCCAGCTTGATAATCCTAGGCCCCAAACAACTCCCTAGGGCTTCCTAAAGATAGTCATGCTTTCTGCCTACTCATTCCTCAAGACCCCAGGAAGCATTCCTTGAAGGACTGGGTCCTGGGAAAGCCAAAGTCAATCATGAGGTCTGGGAGTTTTTCTGGGGAGCTGTGGGAGGCCACAGCTCACAAGGTGAAGGGTAGCAGCAGGTACCTGAGGGGTTTCCTCCTGACTGTGCCTTCCTTCACCTGAGCACCCTCTACCCATTCCCACTTCATGGTGTTTGCTGCTGTCGGAGCCCAGTGTGCCACCCAAACTCGTCCGTGCCCTGAAGCAAGCCCTCACCAGACACTCGATCCACGCTGTGCATCCTCTCGAGCTTCTTGCGGTGGCCAGAGGCCTCGGGCAGAGGTGGCTGGTCTAACCCAAAGGCCCGAGGAGAGGGCCCAGGAGCCAGCTGGGCACATCCAGGACATTCCTTGGAGCCCTGGCGGCTGCCTGCCCAGCTCTGGCAGGACCTGCTGACATCCTCATGGCTGCTGCCTGGGCTGGCACGCAGGGGCTGGCTGTGGTGGTGAGGGTGCCGCTCCTGCTGTCGCCGTCCCTTCACCACAGCCAGCTCAATGGCTTCAGCCTCAGGGCTGGGCAGCAGAGCAGGCTCCCCTGAGATGGTGTACACACGGGGCTGGGGGCCCTCTGCAGCCGGCTTCCCACTGACAGCCTCATCTGAGAGGCTGCCCTCATAACGGCCATTGGAGACTACGGAGAGGCGGCGCTTGTTCTGGGGAGCGGGTTGCATCTCGGGGGACCCGTCGTGGCCAGAGTAGGCGTCAGCTAGCAGGTGGTCTGGGGGAGAGGCATCAGGTGAGCCTGCAGCATGAGGATCAGCCCTCCCAGTGTCCTGGCACATCCAACACAAGGAATACCCAGCAGGCGCCTGGCCTGATGTGGGGGTTCTAGCTGACAGAACCTTGGTCCCTGATGCCTTCAGAAAAGGTCTTCTCCTCCTACCTAGATCTGAAGCCCTTATGTGTGCATGGTGTGGGATGATGGGCCTTGCTACCTGTGTATGATCTTGGGGGGTAGGAACAAGCAGGCCAACCCCCACCCGCCTGCAGTCGCACCCATTTGCCTGGTGCCAACTTTCCCCCTCCCCCCCACCAGCTGGCCCCCAGAGACAGTGGTGCCAGCCCTGGGGGTGCCAGGAGGCCTGTTGCCATGCCAACAGCCCAGGCTGGGAGGGTGCCATGGTGATGAGTGATTGGAGCTCCTCTTGAGCTCCTGGGGCTCTGGGCCCAGGACAGCAAGGGGATGTGAGGAAGCCAGCCCCGCAGGCACCTGGACGGGCTCACCCTCGACCCCTAATGGGTCTCGCCTGAGGTCCACCTTGGCACTGCCCCACCTCACAAGCCCCTACCTGCACCGTTGCGATTCTCAGGGTGACTCTGGGACAGGTACTCTCCAAACGCTCGGGCTGCCCTGCAGGGTGGGCGGAGGGGGCAGTCAGTGTATGCAGGCCCACCCAGCCTCTGGCACTGGCAAGACCCTGCCAAGCACGCACGGGCCCCACCACCGCCCAGGCCCTCCGCACCATCAAGGGAAGCGTCTGCCCCTCCCACCGCGGAGAACCCGGGACCCGTGGGTCCCAGTGCACCCTGGCCGGCGTAGGCCACGGCCCTGCGTCCGCTTTCTGTCCAGCCGTCAGCCTGTGGACGAGGCACAGCGAAGTGGCAGACGCCTTCCCCCTTCAGAGCCCGCGGCCCACTCCGACTCGGAACCCTGAGCCCCACCGGCCGGGGCGGGACGGGCGAGCCGCGGGGGCCGGGAGGGGGCGCGCAGCAGGAAGCCACGGAGAGGCGCAGAGCCGCCTGACCTCCGGCCGCCCCGCCGCACTCACCGCACTTTGGCTGCCACCGAGGACATGGCCTCGCTTCTCAGCGCCCTCCTCCTGGAGGCGGCGGCGCCCATGGTCGCGGCGGCGGCGGCGCATCCCCCGGGCCTCAGAGCGCGCCCCGCGCCCGCCGCCTCCGCCAGTGGAGTCGCACCGCGCCGGGGGTCGCGCTAGGCCTCAGGGTCGCGCTCGGTCTCGGGCCCAGGCCCCGCATGGCCGCGCTGGGCGCTCAGCGCGTCCCGTCCCGTCGCCTGCGGAGTGCGCGGCCGGACAAGGGGCGACGCCTCCGCCCCGTGACGCCAGGCCTGGGCAGGGCCCGCCGTGGCTCCGCCCACGCATGACGTCATGGGCGGGCCAGAGGCGGCCCCGCCCCGAGGCGTCAAGGGGACCCAGCGTGGGCGGTCCTCGTGCAAGCCGGCCAAAAACTAGGAGCGTATCCCCATCTTCTAATCCCAGCACTTAGGGTAGCACATCTGTACATGGGAGCGAACAAGATCCGAGAAACCCAAGAGGCTCGCCTTGGTTTGGGTGAACCCCAACTCCATCAGGACCTGAAGCCCTGCCTTCCTGGCCTGGAGTGTCTGGGGCCCCCTGCCCACCTGCCAGGGACCTTCCAGACATCAGGCCCATCTTACTCTTTGCCATAGAGACCTCAGCATCCTCCACAGAAACAAATCCACACTGTCAGATCGACCTTTATTAACATGCCAGCGCAGGGCCACAAACCTCACAGAGGCTTTGGGACTGGCCCCCCAGCCCCAGGACTGCTGTGGGGTCTCAAGGGAGTGCCAGAGCAGAGAAGAGGCCCAAAGTCTCCCCTGACCCAGCCCAGGCCCTAGGAAGAAGATGGTGGTACTGGCACGCTGGCTGTAACTTCCAGCCTGGTCTTGCTGTCAGCTGAGGGAAGTGGTCTCCTAAGAGTAGGTGGAGCCTTAAATTAACCTCGGGATCTGGCCCAGCAGAACCACTGGGTTAGCTTGTATGTGGGGGTGCCTCTAGGCATCTTGGTCAGGGAGTCAGGGGCATGAGGAGTCCTGGGATGGATCTGGGGAAGCCGGACCAGGGTGCTGATGTCTCAGCAAGGGCTCCTCCTCCTGGAATCAAACCAAACATGGTGTAGGTGCACCCAGCTTGGGTCTGCCAGACCCTAGAGGAATGACCTTGGGCTGCATCACCTGGAGTGTGGGAGGCACTGATGGACTGGGTTTAGCAGCTCACCAAGTCAGAGCCCAACTCATCCTGAGTGCTCTGGAAGTCAGCATATGTGTCCTTGGGGACACCTGGCAACTCTTCCTCGTACTCAGTCTGGTAGTCAGATTCATCTGGAACAGAAGGGAAGGCCACATTGGTCCCCTCCCCAATGGCAGTGGCTGTGCCTACCTAGCACAGCTGAAACTGAGGCAGAACATGGCCATAGACCCTCCTTTCCCAACCCCATGGTGACACCACTTTTCTCACACAGTCATTCCATCCCAGGCCCCTGCCTGGCACATCACATCTGGCTTTGTGTAACTCACCCCCCTGCCCAACACTGGGTGTGTCTTCCACAAAGACACAGTGCAAGCTAACCCTCTTCACCTGCTTGCAGCCAAGTACAAGCAGAGGCTGAAGTGTCTGGCCAACACACAGGCAGCTCAGTGCCTGGGGTTCTCTTGTCTTGGGCAGCCACAAGGACAACACTCAGACTCCTCTTTAAGACAGAACATGCTGTTCTACTGTGAGGATGGAACACTGTGGGTGCTGGGACCTGGCCCTTCTGGCCCTGTGGGTTCTACCAGTGGGCAGTCGTTACTTCTATCTCTTGCTAGGTTGGTTGGGGTAGGAGGCTGATGTGATGTGGCTTGCACCCAAGTCTGTGGAATGGCTGGGGTGTGTGGGTGACCTGGGGAGACAGTCCCATTGCTATGGGGACTCTGGTGCTGGGCCAAGAGTCTCAGGGTCTTGACAGAATGAGGCAGCACTGGCTGAGTTTCCTGGCTGGTGGAGCCCAAATGTGGGTGACTTCCCTAAGGGCCCATGTGGGTGATGGGGTCTAGTCAGCCCAATCCTGTGCAGGCTCCCCTCCTGGGTGTTCAACTCACCATCCACTGCAGCCGCCTTAGCTGGCTCGATGCGTGACACTATCTCAGCAAGGTCTGTGAAGGAGGTGTTGGGATAGGTGAGGACCTGGAGCAAAGCAGATGACAGCTGCTGCAGACCACCCTGGAAGGCAGGGCAGCCCTGTAAAGGGTGCCAGCTTAGTTCAGGGAGCCATGAACCCCCATTTTGGCAGACTTCTACCCTACTTCCTGTAGGGAGACCACTTCCTCTCTTACCGCGCAAGCCTTCCTCTTGCTGGTCCCCTGCTGGTCCTGCAGCATCTTCTCCAACACACCACTCTGACCCCAGATGTCAAACACTGTCCGCCCATGTTGGTATCCCACTTCCTGTGCACACAGCAGGCACCATTAGGTGATGTGGGGAGCCCCTGCTTCTCATGCTCTCAGGAGGCTGGGGAAGGGGCAGACACCAGAGCTGACCCTGCTTACCCCTCTGTCCCCACAGCCAGTGGCTGACACTCACACAGATCTCGTCGAACCTGCTGAAGTCCAGGGTGCGGTAGCTGTCAATAGGGGGTCGCAGGTACTCACAGTAACCACTGCTCTTCACCATCTCCAGCTGCCGGACACAGCATACGTAGGCCAGGCGTGTCTGAATCTCGGCCATGTTCAACACCTGCCAAGACATACCCAAGTGACCTTCCCTGACCCTTCCTTCCCCATCCCTCCTAGCCCACGTAAAGAACAAGCCCTAAGCTGGGGTTCTGGAGCCATGCCTGTGAGCTATGGAATCTCTGGCCCTACCCCCTTTGCTGCCTGAGCCTTGGAGGTGCTCCCACACCTCTGCCCACAGGACAGGGTGTATGGGGGCTGCCAAGTCCACCTGGTACCATCTCCACCTTGACTTTTGTGGCCAAAGGGTTCCAACGTTTCCAAAGCAGCCACCACCCAGACAGTGCATCGCCGTAGTTGGTAAGGTCTGTCTCATCTCTGCTGCCCACATCGATGGCGATCACCACCTTTGCCCCCATGGATCTGGCCACATCAGCTACGGAGAAAGAGGCAGCCTGGTCACACCAAGCCAAGGGTTGGGGTAGAACCTGGGGGCGTGGGGGTTGAGTCAAGTCCTGCTCATTAAGCCTTAAAGGGGACCTTCTTGTGATCCTTCTCCAGTGTTACTCTTAGACCTATGGAGGTAGGAGACCCATGTGCACAGAACTGTGCTATGGACACTTTGACCATATGCCCAACAGGTAGCAGGTGTGGCCTCACCCACAGCACAAGTGACACCTGGAGGCTGTTAGTTCCTGACTGTGGGTACAGATGGAACTTAATTGCTCCTGGTTTATCTACTTGGCCTTTGTTCTGTGTGCTGCTGTGCTAACAGGCAGAGCCATATGCTGGGAGCACACAGTGCGCATGTGCGTGTGTGTATGCACATGCGTGTGTGTTCTCTGTACTCTGATGCCAGCCTGACATTTTCCCTTGGCACATTGTAAGGAAAACGTGTACCACTCTAGCCTTCCTGGCATGGAGGCGGCATGGCAGGAGGCCATGGGGTGGAGTGACTGAGGAGCTGTGTACCAGCAGGCCGGCACTCCCCCACCCTCTGCAGTACCTGGGAGGTTATTGATATAGCCTCCGTCCATCAGCAGGTGTCCGTCCTTGGGGTCACACAGTGGGGGCATATAGCCTGACAGGGACATGCTGGCACGCACATACCTCCACAGAGAGCCTGTGTACGGGGGAGGTCAGAGGGGCTGATGAGAGGGTCAGGGAGGAGTCTTTTCCTGCTCGCTGTAGGTTCCTGTTCTGGACTTGAAGGTCAGTGTGTATCACCCTGGTCAATCTGAGAGTCCACAAGTCCCATGTCCAGAAAGGACACCAGGCTCTACAAATGGACCACCATCAGACTCCTCATCCTTGAAGGGGGCTTGTCTCCAAAAGGTAGGGAATGAGGATCTAGGAGTAAGGATCCTCTGGGATCCCCAGACATCCCTCTTTGCCCAACTCTCCAAACACTTGTATGCTTCTTAGCCCCCTGTGCCCAACTGCACTCCTCACTCTACTCCTTTCCCACAGGGTTCTTCCATCCACCTGGACATTCTCACTGTCCTACTCTTCTTGTCTGGGGTCCTATAGCAGGGGCATCCTCTGCCCTCTGTGCAGATGTGCCTGTGACTCTTTCTGTGAGAACTTCAGTGCTCTCCTCAACTTCATAGAGCTACCAGCACTTCTGCTCAGCCCTCCACGCCTGCTTGTGCCCTTGGAGATGCTAACCCTCTGGACCTGCCATGCCCTGGGCTGTAGGAGGTGCTCACCATCTGTGTGAACTCGCATGGCAGAGGCTGTAATGTCAGTGGTGATGGCAAAGTAGGGGAGCCACAGGTCCTGTGGGTAGGACAGGGATCAGAAAGGATCCTTTAGTGCTGCTCCCTGCCCCATATTAGCAAGGCTGGCTTGGGGCCAGGTGGGCAGGGAGCAACAAGGAGGGTGCTAAGTGTTCAACACAAGCCAGGTGTGGCCATAACTCCCAAGGGTGTCCCTGGGGGATGCACCTCTATTTGCCGGTCTTTGAAGACGCTGCAGATGCTGCTGTTGAAGCCAGCTCCGGAGAACATGGATGTGATTGGGTAGGTCAGGTCCAGCATAGTCTTCACCATTGATGTCATGTCCTAGAGACATAGGACACCTCTACAGAGTGCTCATATCCTGGCCTGCGGGACCTTGCAGGAGCAGCACGTGGGCACATGCACATATTTCAAGCAACAGGAACATTCTCAGGCCCAGGATGCCTGGGGTCTCAGGAGAGTGCATGCTGTGGGCTTGAGCCACAGAGTGGACAGAGACCAGCAGAAGTCTCCAGGGCTTGGAAGCTGAGACACAGACCCATGCAGCCCCATGCCCTCTGTCCCAGTAAGCATTGGGAGGGTTAGCAGCAAGAACTGCTCAGAGCCCAGAGCTCAGGGCTCATTGGAGTGAGGTCCCTCCCTATTTGAAGATAAATGAGGGACCAAGACAACAGGGATGAAGGTATCTTGGGGCTCTACCCAGGGCTTGAGTCCATTGCCATGGAAGCCCCAAGGAGGGACCTGCCCAGCACCAGATGGTCCCATCACCACCCATCTCCTCCGCATAGGTGGGTGGGTGGGAAGGCACATTGTTCCATCTTCACTCTGCCCTGCAGAGTGGCTACTCCACCAGGGTCCCACAGTCCCAGTATACCCTCAGGATGATGGAAGGACCAGCCAAAAGTGCCCTGAGCATTTCCTGTTCCCCAGCACCAGGCCAGCAGGGGAGGGAAGGAAGAGGATCACCCATAGGTTCTGGCCTGGTCTCCTCAAATTGTGACTGCATTCTCACTAAGCCATCATCTGCCTGCTGGGCACATAGCCCCTTGTGGTCCCTGCTCTTAGAGGTCATCCCTAGTGACCACTGTCACATCATTAAGGATGCAGGGTGCATCACCAGGTCCTCTCTTTTGATGGCCACACTGAGGAGTGATAGGGAAGGACCATTTCTGGAACAGAAAGCTCCACAGTAGCATCCTCAGGGGGCTGGTGGTGGGGCCAGTGACAGTGCCAGGCCCTGTGAGTGCAGCAGAGAGCCCACCCCTTGGGTTCTGCATACAGAACAACCAATTTTCTTTTCTTTTAAAAAGAACACAAGGCTAGAGGCTTGGCTCAAGCAGTAGAGCACCTGCTTAGCAAGTGCAAAGCCTGAAGTTCAAACCCCATTGCCGAGAGAGAGAGAGAGAGAGAGAGAGAGAGAGAGAGAGAGAGAGAGAGAGAGAGAGATACAGTCACAGAGAGAAAACGAACGAACATAAATGCTTTTGATCCCAGATATGGTCTCAGCAGGGCTCTGTTTGTTTCTCAGGAGCAGCCTAGCCCTGACAGGGCCATGAGCGGCCCACCTGCTAGGCAGTTGGAGCTGAGGGAGCTTCTTCTGTTTCCTTTGATTCTGTATTTGATGTTTTGATTCTGGTGTCCATTTATGAAAAGCCAGAGCAGCTCACATCTCTCATGTAAGCTGTAGATCATGCCCAGCTTCTCCTTGGTCTGACTCACACCAAGCCAACGTTCTCCTCCTCTAAATTACCTGGAGCCAAGGACCAGACAATGAGGGATACCTCCAAGCCAGCTGGAATGAATCACACTAGCTGATGTGAAGCAAAGCACCATTACTTGCTTTTACTACAGAAACCCTAGGCCTGGGCCAGGTACTGGTGGCTCATGTCTGTAATCCTACCTACTTGGGAGGCAGAGATCAGGAGGATCTCAGTTCAAAGCCAGCCCTAACAAACATTTCACGAGACCCCATCTCAAAAATACTCAACACAAAAAAAGACTGGTGGAGTGGCTTAAGTGACTGGTAGAGCTTCTGTCTGCCTAGAAAACATGAGGCCCTGAATTCAGACCCCAGTAACCACCAAGTAAAAAAGAAAAAAAAAAAAAAAAAAAAAAGAGAGAGAACAAAAAAATTCTAGGCATGGGACTGGGCCTCTTTCTCCTTCCTCCTTTCTGCTCCTGACCAGCCCCTGATGTCAGCTCCCATGGCTCCGGTACAGCTGTATCTCTCCTCTCCAGGGATTATGGGTAACCACCAGTTCTCCCTCCAATGGAATTGGCCTCCTGTGTCATCCCTCAGTAATTTCCATCAGTTAAGACCCAGTACAAAACAGAGTGTCTCCCATAGTTGGCCTCAGGCCACTTCCCACCACCAGTCCAATTCTTTACTTCTCCGTGCTCCCCTATACTCCATAGGTCACACTTTGAGGCCTATGGTGCCATTTCCTTGAGAGAAGAGCCTTCCTGAGTGTGGAGGCTGTGCGCTTACCTCTGCCCACTGCTTGGCCCGGATCCGCATCTGGCTATAGCTTCTCTCCTCAGAGTACAGGGCACCCATGAAGGCCCCGATAGATGTCCCTCCGACCATGTCCACAGGAATGCCACACTCTGCCAGGGCCCTGAGGATGCCCACCTGGGCACAGCCTCTTCAACAGCGGGAACACAGAGAGTACGCACCACCATTAGGCCAACCCTTGGACTGTGCCCAGAAGAGGTCCCAGAGGTGATTGCCCTGTGACCTGCCTGCTCCTCCCTCTTCAGTTCCCAACTCCTGCACGGTCACAGACAATGGAGTGAAGATTCTGGCTCAGAAAAGGAGTCTGGATGTAATTTAAAATCCCTCTCTCTGGAGGTACTAACCAGTCTGTGAAGCTGAGACGGGGAGAAGAAAGGTCACCCAAGGAGAGCTAGCATGGGGCCTCTTCTACCTACAAACATCTGCAGACTCTAACAGAGCACTGCAGAGGCTGCAAAACTAGACAGAGCTTTTGTCAGACTCAATTATGGGTGGGAAAAAGTGGAGGTAAGGGCCCCCTGGAAAGGAGAGGACCTGGTAAACACCCCGAGGGCCACCCTAGGAGTCAGGGCAAACTGGAAACAGACCAGCCCTCACAGAGACTAGGAAGCTGGCTCCCAATTGTTTAAAATCCAGATTGAAGTTATCACCCAAAGTTTCACATTATTGCTGCCATTTTCATGCTTAATGTGTACTACTCAATCAAAAATTACCAGTCACATGAGGAGAAGATCACATGACCATAAGCCAAGAGAAAAAACAGACAACAAAAGCGGACCTACAAGGAACCCAAAAAATAGAGATATCAGACCCAAACTTTAGAACGTGCGTGAAATGTTCAAAGAGTCAAAAGTTAAAAATTGTCAGTATCCATCAGGTAAACAAAGTATTGAATTTATACCTGTAGTATGTACATTAGTATACTCAGTGAAGGCAGCAGACACAAAAGGACAAATATGAGTTCATTTGAGGTACCTAGAATAGGCACATCCATGGAGATGGAAAGTAAAATAATAGATACCAGTGGCTGAGGAGAGAGGGGATGGGAGTGTGTAAAGGGTACAGAGTTAGTTTGGGATGTTCTGGAAATGGGCAGTGCTGATGGTTGCACAAAAACTGTACATTCAAAAATGGTGAAAACAGTAAATGTCATATAAATGTTTTAACACAATAAAGAGTTGTATACACTATCACTATGAAAATTAAATATTCAAGTATAATGCTAAAAAAAGAGTTGAAGGAATTCAAGATAAGACTGATAATTTTGGCATAGAATTGAAAACTATGAAACAGAAGCAAATGTAGATTCTTGAAGTGAAAAAGTCAATAAATGAGTTTAACAGATTAGACACAGCTGGAGAGAGAAATGGTAAAATGTAAGATAGGTCAGGAAAAAATACTCATTGAATCATAAAAGATGGAATATGTAAAATAATTTTTTATAAACTAGATAAAGGAGTTTAGGAAACATGGAATCTGGCACAAAATTTACATGGAATTCAAGCCCAGAAAGAGAAGAAAGAACCAAGTGGGATAAAAGGAATAGCTGAAGAGAGAAGGGCTTGCTCTCAGATTCAAGAGGCATCCTAAGCCTTAAGCAGTAATCAAACAAAAACCATTCCTGCTCTGTGAAAAACCCAAGGCAAAGAAAAACATTTTTAAACCAGACTAAAAACTGGGGTTAGGGGTGTGGCTTAGCGGTAGAGCTCTTGTCTAGCATGCAGGAGTCTCTGGTTTCAATCCCCAGCCCTACTCCCACCCCCAAAAAAAGACATATTCCCTTCAAAGTCACAGCAAAAAGAACTCACTCTTCTATCCTTTGCACAACTGTGACAGAAACCATATAGTTACCATCTGTTCCTTTACAGGCAACATCTGTTGGCCCGTAAGTTAGGGGAAAAAAGAACAAGGAAATAATAAAGATAAGAGCAGAAATTAAAGAACCAAAATCCAAATATGCAATAGAGAGGGTCAACAAAGTTAAAGTCCATGCTTTGAAAGGACAATCAAGGAAAGAAAAGGGAGAAGAAAGAGATGCATCAGCAATGTTGGGGATTGGAAAGGGCGTATCAGGACAGTTGTAGTTAGCAAGAAGCTGTTGTGAACACCTCATTATTCTACAACTAGGAAAATTCAGATAACCGCACACATAACAAAACTGGCACAAAAATAAGATAGGATACTGCCCAGTATCCTAACTACTAAAGAAACTGAATCTTTTTAAATCCCCATAAGGAAAATTTCATGTTCATCAACTAAACATATAAGGAAGAAACAATGCAAATTTACATAAACCTTGCAGAGAATGGAAAAGAAGCACTTCCTTCTTCAACTTGCAAAGCAGGCAAACACATTTCTGGCTAAAGCCTGGTGTACAAACTTCAGGAAAGCACAATTTCAGTCCAGTTTCACTCAGATTCCAACTGAATCTAGCAGTACCAAAACAGGGTAAAGCATCACAGCCAGTTGGGTCTGTTCCTGAATTGCAATTGTTTGTTTTTTGATTTTATTATTATTACTTGGTGGAACTAGGGTTTGAACTCAGGTCTCATGCTTGCTAGGCAGGCGCTCTACCACTTGAGCCAGGCCTCTATTTCCTTTTGGTTATTTAGGGTCTTGTTTTAGGTCAGCCTGGATGCAATCCTTATATTTATGCTTCCCTGCGTAGCTGGGAAGATGGGTGTGTGCCACTGAACCCAGCCATTGGTTGTGATGGGGGTCTCACTATCTTTTTGCCTAGGCTGGCCTTGGATTGTGATCCTCTCAACCTCAGTCTCCCCCAAGTAACTAGAATTACAGGCTTGATCCATTACACTGACCTTGTTTTGTTTGTTTATGTGAATACTGGGGTTTGAACTCAGGACTTCATACTTGTTGGGTAGGAGCTCTACCACTTGAGCCACACCAGCAGCCCTTTTTTTGTGTTGAGTATTTATGAGATAAGGTCTTGCAAACTGTTTGCCTGGGCTGGCTTCGAACTGCCATCCTTCTGTTCTCAGTCTCCTGAGTATTTAGGATGATAGGGATGACTTACCAGCATCAGGCTTGTTTTATTTTTTTGAGGCAGTGTCTTACTGCGTAGTTTAGTCTGGCCTCAAACTTACAGCTTCCCGAGTGCTGTGCTTACAAGTGTGTAATGTTAGTTTTTATTTGAAAATCAATTTAATTCACACATTAACAGTTCAGAAAAGAAAATGCGATCTTCTTGGACCTATGAGATAAAAAAAGAACAGGAAGGAGCGTTCTTGTCTCATCAGAAGCAGCTACAGTCTTCAGCCAGCATCATCCTGAGTGAGGATGGGCACCTGCTCTCCTAAGATGGGGAACAATACAGGTATCCACTCTCACTACCGCCTTCAACACTACATTGGAGGTTCCAGACAGTATAGAAAGGAAGGAAAGAAAAAAAGACGTATGTACATACATAGGATAGAAAGAAGAAATGCTGTTGCTTTATTTTCAGAAAATGTGAAATATGGGGTTAAAAAATTCAAAATCTAGTAAAGGCTACTAGAAAAGTGAATTGAGGAAAGTTGTGACATAAAAGTAACTTAAAATGTCAGTTAAATTCCTGTACATGAGCAACAAATGGCTTGAAAGCAAAATCTAAAAGATACATTGGGAGGAGGACATAAGGAAAGGGTGTGGGAGGTGAGTATGGCGGTAATATTATACTCATGTAAGTAATGGAAATGAGACCTGTTGAAACTATTCCAGGAGTGGAGGGGAGAGGATAAAGGAGAATGATGGAGGAAGTGACATATTGTAACAACTTGTGTAGATGTCACAATATACCCCCCAGCACAATAATAAAAAAGATACATTTATTATTATTCTTTTAAACTACTGTTTAAAGGAAAAGCCATAAAATGAGAAATATACTTAAGAAATGACTTCAAGGCTTCTACCCTGTAGCACACATACCACTGCTGAGGAGAAGTAAGGAGTACCTAAGTAAGTGGGGAGATATGCCTTGATCACGGGTTAGAAGACTCCAGGGTTGTCAGGAAGGCTTTCTCCACAAAGTGAGCTACATACAGACTCACAGCTTCCCCCCATCAAAACCTGGTAAGCTTTGCCTTTTTGGAGAATCAGCTTTTGAAAAGCTGATTCTAAAATTTATATGGAGGCCTCCTGGTGCTTACCACAGGCTGTGTTATTACGCTGACTATACAGGAAGAGGAGGCAAAGCAAATCTACCCCATATATCTCCATATATACCAGGTCCTGCACCTGGTCTGTATTGTGAATGGGGAGAAAAATCAATAAATGAATAAAATATATATAGAAATGCAAAGGATCTAATATAGCCAACACAATTCTGCAATAGAAATGGAAGGAATAATTCTACTTGATGTCAAGATTTACTATAAAGATATAATAATTATGACTGTAGTATTGTCATCAAGGATAAAACAAACACAGTGGAACACAATGAAGTCCACATGGCTCACTTATGGAATTTTTTTTTTTTTGTAGGAACTGGAGTTTGAACTCAGGGCCTTATGCTTGCTAGGTATGTGCTCTACCACTTATGCCACTTCTCCAGTCCATTTTGCTTTGATTATTTTTGAGGCAGGGTCTCACATTTATGCCTAGGCCAGCCTGGACTGTGATCCTCCTATTTAGGTTTTCTACCTAGCTTAGATGGCAGGCATGTGACACCATATCTAGCCTTTTATTAGTTGGATAATGAGATGGGGTCTTACTAACTTTTTGCCTGGGCCAGCCTTCAGCCATGATCCTCCTGATCTCTGCCTCCTGAGTAGCTAGGATTACAGGCATGAGCCACTGCACCCACAAAGTCATCTGGACATTTGGACAAGTGCCTCTACACTTGACCTGAGAGGAGAAGGCCTTCAACAGATGGTTCTGAAGCAACTTAGATAAGCATGCATGAGAAATTAACTGCCTCACACCATCACAAAAGTTGATTTTTTTGAGACAGGGTCTCACTATATAGCTTGGCTGGCCTTGAATTCATGATTCTCCTGCCTCTGCCTCCTGAGTGCTTGGATGATAGGAACGTGCCACCACACTTGGCTCTGCAAAAATTAATTTGAGGTGGGTAGTAGGCCTACACACACCACTAGGAAGTGCAGATCTTCTAAAAGAAAATATAGAATACCTTTGTGTCCTTGGGGTAGCAAAAGATCTCAGAACACTTAAAGCGATAACCATAAAAAATTAGAAAGTCACTCCATTGAAAATTAAGAACAGTTCATTCAAAGATGCCACTAAGAAAATGAAAAGAAAGCCTGGGACTGAGAGGCAATGTTAGCATAAATATATCTGGCAAAAGATCTGAAGTCAGAATCTTTAACTTCTCCAACTCAATAATGAGAGACAATCTATTCGAAATTGATACTTCTTCACAAAAGAAGATGCACAAAGGGCCAACAAGCACATGAAAGGGAGATGTGAACTCGAGTCATAAGGAGACACCACTACACATACTAAAAGAGCTACAATTTAAATCAAGACCAAGGGTTGCAAGAATATGGGCCAACTGAGTTCTCATGCATGGCTGGTGGGGTATAACATGGTACCACTACCCTATGATCAGGTAATTCTAAGACTAGGTCTTTGCCCAAAAGGAAAGAAAACATATTTTCACACACAAAAAAGTGGTCATAACAATTTTTTTCCTAATAATCAAAACCAGAAAATAACCCAAATGTCTATCAGCAGGAAGAAGTGTAAGCAAAGTGGGGTGTGTAATGGAGCACTGCTTAGGAATACCATCATAGATATGGCCAAGAACACAGACCTGAAGCTGGGCACCAGCAGCTCACACCTGTGATCCTAGCTACTTAGGAGGCAGAAATCAGAAGGATCATGGTTCAAAGCCAGCCTAGGCAAAGACTTCATGAGAACCTATCTCAAAAAACCCTTCACAAAAATAGGGCTAGCGGAGTGGCTCAAGGTGAAGGCCCTGTACTGCAAAAAAAAAAAAAAAAAAAAAAAAAAGAACACAAACCTTAAACACATCATACTGTGACACAAAGCCAGACACAGAAGTGCACAGTGGAAAACTTAAACAAGCCAGAAAACCAACAAGTAAAATATTTGCCACTGATATTATCAGAAAAATACAAATTACATTAGTGTAACAAAGAATGCTATGAGGAAAAAAAGTACTCATAATCCAAGTGTGGCGATACACAACTGTAATCACAGTACTCTAGAGGCTAAGGCATCAGGATCTCCAGTTTGAGACATGCCTGGGGCTACATAGTGAGACCCAGTCATACTCAGGTTTGAGAAATATTTTACCAGAAAAGATTCATTGGTAGATACGCTTGAAAAAAAATTCTCCAAAAATGCAGAACAAAAAGCAGAGATGGAGTCAGGTGCCAGTGCCTCATACCTGTAATCCTAGCTACTTGGGAGGCAGAGATCAGGAGGATCGTGGTTTGAGGCCAGCCCAGGGCAAACAGTCCACCAGACCCTATCTGAGATATCCAATACAACAAGGGCTAGCAGAATGGCTGAAGTTCTTGCTAGGCACCTGCCTAGCAAGCATGAGGCCCTGAGTTCAAACCCCAGTACTGCTTGCCAATCCCTCCCCACAGCCCCCACAAAAAAAGAAAAAAACCGAAATGGAGAATATGGGGAAGAAAAGATATGGGAATTTTGAGATCCCTCTAGGATGCTAATATCTAACCATGAAAAACTCCAGGAAGAGAGAGCAAAGAAAGAAGCAAACATTATTTAAAAAAAGTAAAACCAGGTATGGTGGTTCACACCTGTATTTCCAGCTATTCAGGAGGTGGAGATTGGGAGGACTACAGTCCAGGCTGGCCTCAGACAAAAAGTGAGACTCTACTGGAAGAATAACTAAAGCAAAAAGGGCTGAGGGGCATGGTTCAGGGGTTACAATGCCTGTCTAGCAAGTGTAAGGCCCTGAGTTCAAACTCAGTATCACCAAGAAAAAAAAAAATTCTGAGTTGAATGAAATTCAGTGTAATTTTTGAAACTTTGAGAATACCAAGAATTAAGAGAATCTTCTATAAGGCTCCAGAAGGAAAAGCGGGCCTCACGAATAGAAACAGCCCTGAGTGTCTCAACAGTAACACAAAAAGCTATAAACACAACAAAACTGCTGTAAAGCTTCTTGGGGAGAATTGTTTCCTTCTAGAATTCTATACTCAGTCAAACCATCATTTAAGTATGCGAGCACAATGAGAACATTCTCTGATAGGCATGGTCTTTATGTTTCTAACCACACATCTCTTAAGGAAATTTTTAGAGTATGTATCCACAAAAAATGAGGAATACTGAGGCAGACATGGAATGCAGAAAATGGAGTTGAACACAGGAGAGAAAGCAAGTCAGTTTCTAGTGTAAGAAAAATGATCTTTTCTATCAAAGTATTTGTTACCCTCTTAGATTACTTAAAAATTCCTCAGGTCACCATCTCAGGTGACTTGCATGTTTAAAGGGTCCTTGCTTCTTCTTCCGGATTCCTGTATGATTTCACTGCCCACCAAACTACATGACTTAACCCATCCCCCCAAGCCTTTTAGCCAATGGAGGGAGATTGTGAACCTTCAACTTGGGCAAATCCCAGGTAAGGGGCAGGTACGACTGTGTCAGGGACATAAGGAGGAGCCACTGTCAGCCATTTTGTGCTTGTGTGTTTGCTTAGCTGAAGCGAGCACATGCTTGCACACTCTTGATCAAAAGAAATTGCCTTGTCAAGATTTTCTGTCTCTTGTGTGTCTGTTTTCGGCACCGGAGGGTTACTAATTCCAACACTAGGATGATGGTAAGGAAATTCCATGGCACCATCCCAGGAGCATGGCTAGAGCAGCCAGCAGAGACGAGAGGGGGCTGGCAGGCTGCAGGGAGTGTGACCTGAACAATTTGAACAGAGACAACCTGATCTGCCTGTACCTGCTAAGAGGAGACAAATGCTTCCCGCAGAGGGTTTGTGGATGCACTGGTGACAGCAGAAACTGAGCAGGTGCAAATGCAGTAGCTACTGATTCCAAGGAATTGTGATCAAAGGTGAGCATACTAAATTGTGATATGACTTAGCTATGAAGTGGACCACGTCACCACAATGCCACACACAGTGAGTGGTGGCTGGAATAATGGTAGAGCCACATGAGGACTATGAGCAGGAGGGAAGGAGGCAAAGTTACTGACACATGATGAGAATATAGACCAACAGACACAACGTGTTGAGGGCTAGAAAGTCAATAATCTAAAACTGAAGAGATCACACAATTACTTGAATAAGGATGCGATTTAGAAATACATACAAACAGATGGCCCAAAAGGGTTGGATGTGGTTATTTCTTGGAATTTTCTGGATTTGGTAGGGGGGCAGAGAGAAGGCAGAGGACTGCTTTTTGTCATGTGCTTTATACAACTACATAGCTTTTAAGTATACCTTGATTAAAATGCCACTTTCCTTGAAAAGGCTGCTGTTCTAGTCTGGAAGCCAGACAGACCCAGGTCTGAGCCCCTGCTACCTAGACCCACAGAAAGGAGCTGGACCTCAACCCCACCTGACAAACACAATCACCCCATTTCTCTAAAGCCAATTGTCTTGGCATTCAAATGACAGAAGGGAATAAATGAGGGGCAAAGTCCCTGAGACCCTGGGATCCCAAGATATGATGAGCTCAGTGCTGTCACTTTACTACCAGGTCGAGAAGGCCAGAGAGCAACTCTCAGCACAGACAACTCCCAAGGACCCTGACATGGTGCAACAAAGAGCTCCTTATCCATAGCCAGGGGCCATCTCTGAGCTCCATACTGGTGCTGCTAGAATCCCAGGGTGGGGCTCAGTTGGCCCGTCAGCCAGCCAATTGTTGACCATCCCTCCTTCTTGGGTAGTGGTGGGGTCTGCCACAGGGGCAAAGCTTGCCCTGGATCATTCAGTGACAGCATCCGTGACACCTTGGGTTCCATTTCCCTTTAAGTTCAGAGGAAGGGTGGTAAGAGTCAGACAAAACTCAGGATAGGAATTATTTGGGCTAAAAGTACTTTAAGGAACCCACAGCCCAAAGAACTAAAGAATGTTTCTCTAGTTCATGAGTATATCAGGTCATTACTCTATACAGCACATACTAGAATGGAAAGAAACTCACCAAGAGCCCAATGGGGACACTGGCAAAGGACAAGAACAAACAGTTTTCAGAAGAGGAGTCAGAACTTGCTAACTGGCAAGCAAATACTTCTAAGCGAAGACATCCAAGATACAAATTTTCTATCAAACTGGGAACAATGAAACCTGGCCACCCTGGGCTTGCGCGTGTGCACCCAGGTACTTCAAGATGCTGGCCACACTCCTGCTGTCCATGGGGACTCTCTCCTGAGGACATCAGAGATAATTATGCTCCAAGGGTGTCTTTGTGGCCCGATACCACCATCCTCCCACCGCCTGGGGGAATGACCATCACTTCCACACACACGTGGAGTGGAACCTGGGCCAGGGAGCTCACCTTGCTCCCCCGCCTCCAAGCACCAAGGCGATGGCGTTCCCTGTCAGCACCCGTGCCAGGCGGGAGAAGTCTGAGTGCCGGTCTGGGGGTCTCTGGAAGACGCGCTCGTACATCTCCACCTGAGAGAAGGGCCAGCAAAAGCAGGGGCTTGTGCTGGACTGCAACTGAGACCCCATATGTCCTGACTGAGTGGACTACCACTCCTCGCCCAGGCAGGCCCCAGAGGCAGCTCAGGCTCACCTGGGGAGAATGTTGGCAGAGGCATGTGGGTGAGCAAATGGGCCCAAATGGAGCTACTGGACTACCAGAGACCATGGAGCCCCTCAGAGCTGTTCCACAGGAATCACCCCTCTAGCCCTTTTAGCAGACAGTGCGCTCAGGGGCACAGGGTCCTGAGCAGATATGCAGCCATCAAGACACTGTCCACTAAGCTGTGGGGGCCAAATGGACAGTGGTATGCAGGCGACCTTGTGCTCCACCACTTGGCCCCTGGGCCCATAGGGCTAAGGATACACTAAAGGAAGAGTTGTCTCAGGATTTGTATTTGCTTTTGCCTAGGGTGTGGGGGGTTTGACCATGAGGGCTTTTGGGGGCCTTTGGTGAATGTGAGACTTTTAGGCTTAGTTCCTAATTAGTTCCTGATCCCCATCAGGCCCATCTTTCTGGATTCACTAGTCCCCAGGCCCCTGATAGCCTCTCTGAGCTTATGCCTCCACCATGATGGGCCTCCCTTCACCTGCAGGGCACAGCATTGCATGGTGGCCCAAGAATCCCAAAGTCAAGGTTAAGTAAATATAAGCTCATAGCCAGAGCTCAGAGTGGAAGAGACGAGCCTCCCAACCAGAGTCCATAGAGCTCTAATGCTGGACAATTCAGAGAGGAGAGGAAGAAGGTTCTGAGTGTGCAAGCAACAGACAGGAGGTCGGGGTGTGTGTGTATGTGTGTGTTGTTCTGGTCAGGATTCATGAGCGCACTGGGTCCACCAGGTCTCACCAGTTTGGGCAAGCTCCTCCTGGAGAAGACACGGCGTGGGCAGCAGAGGTGCAGGTGGCCAGAGCACCAGCTCCGCATGTTCAGCCACTCCACAGTGTGGGCTGGTGCTGGGCCCTCCTCCCTGTGCAGCAGGATCAGCTGCTTTTGGGCACGCACAGCTGTGCTCTCCAGCATCCGCTCCAGCTAGGGAGAGTAGGGCCCAGGTGAACCTGAGGATTGAGGGTAGGACAGAGCCAGGGACCAACAAAGGGCTGCCATGCCACCAACATCTGCACTGGAAACCGCCCCACTGGCTGGTTCCACCAAGGACAGAAGCTTACTATGGGGCAGGTATGACAAGTGGCTCCCTGGTTCTTGAACCAGTAGGTTGTGACATAGCCTGTCCTGGCGCTTCTGCCACTCTGACCACAGGATCTGTCCAGCTGTGTATGCTGGGCAGTCGGCATGGGTACAAGGAAGCTGGGGCATGAGAATAGGAATACCTCCCCTATCTGTGTTTCTAATGCTGCCTCATGAATGCATGCTGTCACCTTTGTAGATGATGCAGGCACTTATCCAAGCAGGAGAGCATCACTCCTGCAGAATGGGAACACACATCAAAGAGGAGGGAGTTTCAGCTGCCCCAGGATTAGACAGGCTGGGCAGAAGCTTGAGATAAAAACAGAGTGGTGGAACAGAAAGAGGAGGTGGGAGCACTAACTCAAGGGATAAAAAGGTGCCATATCACAGCTGGAGGAAATGAACAGGCTGACAGTGCTCAGGACCTGGAAGGACATGGAGCCTTGCAGCCACACCTGCAACCACCTGAAGGGGACGCTATTTCTCACGCTCCCTCCCTTGCTGGAGCGAGCTTTCTCTCTGGCTCCTTGGTTATTACTAGAGATTTTAGAAAAAGACTCAAGATAGACCGACAGAAAGTTGGGGTCAGGTGTGTTGTACGCTTGGCTGGAGACGCACAACCTTCATTGCTGCTTTTCTCTATCTTGATTCAAGGCCTTACTCCTTGCAGTTCTTTAAAACCTTGCTCTCTTAGTTTATCTTTAGCTTAATTGCTCTCAAAGTCTTTTGCCCCCAGGCTTGCACTGTCCCATCTCTCTTTAGCTCTCTTAAAGCTTGGTGCTCAAACTTGCAAACCAGCAGCCATGCCTAAAAATTGTATATACATAACTCTTAAGGTCTTGGTCCTTAGACTTGCACTGTGCACTGTCCCATGTTCTCTTTGGCTTTTCTTTAGCTTTAGCTTTCCTAAGGTCTACGCATGAAGTTCTTTCTCAGCTTTGCTTTCTGAAGCCTATGTTAAAGTTCTCAGTGCAGACTTTCTATAAACCCCTATTTAGCATTTTCCCTTCAACAATTCTTTTCCCTTCAGCAATTTTTCCCTTCCAAAAGCTTCTCACACCAAAAGGCCCAAAGTAAAAGCTTCTTCCCAATACTCAATGGCAAAAAGTCCCCAAAGCAAAAAGCTCAAAGTAAAGTAAACCCCAGCCCTCCTTCAGTGGGCCTTTCATAAACAGAGGCAAACAGGGTGGAGCAGAGGCTCTGGGGAGGGGCATGACGTTGTAACAAGAGAAACCTGTGTTCCTGCTTTTCTGAAAGCAAACTTAGGAGACCCAGCTGTTCTGCTTTTTTCTGTTTCATGCCAGGGCTGTGCCTATCTTGGCTTACATTTAAACGCAATTAACTGCATCTCGCCTTGCTTGTGTCCAGTTCTCATAGGCTTTAATCTGCTTCCCACAACTACCCACAAAAAAAAAAAAAAACCAAACTGTGATAACAACCAGGAAAGTGATCTAGCAACATCTGGTAAGTCTGCAGACACACCTCTGGGGTTGACAGCTCTTAGAACCTAAAAGCACCCTGCACATGACTTGTTACTGTGAAGTAACTCTGAGAATGCATGAACAGATAGTGAGGTGCTTACAAATGGGAAAACAAACAGCCATAAAAATAAGTGAAACAACATGGATAAAGCTCAAAATCCTAAGTGTTGACAAAAAAAAGGAAATTTCAGGCTGATATAAAATAGGGCACTATTTCTATAAAATCTTAAATCTGTGAGAGAGTACTTTATATACACCTTGTGAAAACTGTGAGGCAAATAGAGGCTCCATCTTCACAAGGGACCACCCTGCTGGGCTTTGTACTAAAACATTCAGAGGTGAACATAGCAAAAGGTTTCTAAAGCTGGGCAGCAGATGGCTAGTTCCTCTTCCGATTTCTTCAAATGTCTCACTCAAAGGGAAGAGATGAGGGCTTTGAGGAGGCAGGGCACTCCTCCTAGCACTCACCTCACCCACTGTCGGCTCCTGCTCACCCAGGCCCACAATAAGGATGCAGTCGGCCTGCCGGATGCAACGCTGAGTCCAGGGCGTGAGCGTGCTGTCTGCTTGGTAGAGCACAATTCGATGAATGTCTTCCTGTTGCCCCAGCCAGCTGGAGAGCCGGTACTCGTGGATACTAAGAACCATGAAGGCAGCACCTCACTTTCTGTGGAGGCTCCCAAAGGCCCCACCTCAGAGAGCACTAGCAACCTTATTGGCACGTTTCCCAACCACAGAGGAAGAGGGACCTGGGCCTAGGAAGTTGAACAGAAGCTGTGGCCAGGCCTTAAGGTTGGGGACTCAAGAAAGAGTGGAGTGCAGAACTGCCCACATGATAAGGAGAGGACTGATGGCTCCCAGCATGTGTGTTGAGTGCAGTAAGGGTGGACCTGCAGCACACTTGAGGATGCAGACATCGGGGCATAGGGATAGCAGGATGGATCTCAGGAACATGCCTGGACCGGTTAAGAGGAGGAAGCAAAGATTGGCCAGGCTGTTTTCTATACGGGGCCAAATTGGGTGCTGGAGGCTAGCGTACCTGTCCAGAGCAGCAGAACCAAAGCGCTGTTTGATGTTCTCACTGGTCAGCAGCAGGACAGGACCTAAGAACACAACCACCAGTTACAGAAGTCTGTCCTGGCAGCCAACTCTGAGGATCAGTGAGGGACAAGAGTGTTCACTCTCTGTCTTGAGGTCAGTGACCCTGAAAGGTACTCCTGGCCTCCTGTTGACATGTAAGAAAAGTCATTGTATTCGAACCACTGTGTGTGTTAAGTATGTGTGTGTGTACATGCTGGGGACAGGGATAGCATGAGGTAGTAAACTCCAGAAAATGTAACTTCCCAGATCATCAAGGCTGCCTGGATCACAATCCAGTTCATACATATGCAGATCCATCTTTTCACATTTATGCCTATTAGCATGTACCGTCCACACCAAAGCCAGTGTCAGAATCCAAGGAAAGGCTGCCAGTGTCTCAGGAGAGAACCCAGAGAAGAGTGGTGCCCACTCTCAGGGAGCTGCCTCACCATGTGCCTGCCATGTGGTGATGGAGTACCCTCGTACCAGATGGAAAAGGACCGAGAAACTAATGCAGACAGAGGCCACCAGGACTTCAACAGCTGTTTCTGAGATGGCCCAAGGAGGTCTAATCATTCTAAACAAGCTTTTCTAAGAGTATATAAATAATTAAGAGCTAAGTGATGAGTGATCACCTTTTTTTTTTGAGATAGGGTCTGGCTCTATTGATCTGGTTAGCCTTGAACACCTGGGCTTTCTCTCCCAAGTAGCTGGGACTACAGGCAAATGCCACTGTGCCTGGCAACTGCATCAATTTTAACTGTCAGCATGTTTCGTAGAGTCACACAGAATAAGGGTGCCTTTATAGCTGGGAGGGCCACTGGAACATGGCTGTCACAGCTCTGAGTTAAACTACAGAAACCCACTGAGTAGGTGAATCAGCCTTTCCAGGGAGGTTCAGGGGAAAAAAAAAAAAAAAAAGGGCAGAGTGGTCTTGTGGGTTGCATTGTTTAGCCTGAAGGTTGGAGCCAGAACCTGCAGTCAGGAGCAAATAACAATGTCTTTCTGGTCATCTTAGAAGGGCACTCGGCACCTTGAAGCTGATGCTTTTTCAACCTGGATGGGAACTGGAGGTGGGGCTGTATATCTTCACTTCTTGGTGCCAGGAGGACATACAGCACCATGCTTAAATAGACAGGCCATGCTTGGCTGCAGAGACATGAAGGGGCTGGCCTGAGACTCACAGAAACCCCATGCTGGATTCACCTACACTCAGGGCATGCCCACTGATCTAGGCCCCCCTGCCTTGATTTGGGGGTTACAAAGGTGGAATTGTAGAGCCACACCCCCCCAAAGGTGGTGCTCTGGGCTCTCATAAAACAGGTTCCAACTCCTGCCAATCAAGGCCACACTGAGCACACCTCTGCTGGAAGTGGTCTGCCAAAGTGTCTAGACCCTGTGCAGGAAGCAGAGCTTTATTCCCATAGAGCAAGGTGTAAGTAGGCCCAGGCAAAGGGGGCTTCTGGTCTCACTGGATCCTAGTCTTTGGAAAGACAGAGTGGCCTGTCTGCACTACTTGTCTCCAGGTCCATGGGGTACAGCCAAAGTAGATGTTCAGCCAGGCCATTGCCCCAGGTCTGAACTTGCCTGGGCAGCACTTTCACCTAGCTGCCAAATAACTTCCTTTCAAGATTCTGGAAGCAAAGAAATGAGCTAAGAGTTATCAAAAGACATGGAGGGAACTAAAATGTATATTACTGAGTGAAAGAAATCAATCTGAGGAGTAGCTTAAGCAGTAAGAGTGCCTGCCTAGCAAGCATGAAGCCCTGAGTTCAAACTGCAGTGATGCCAAAAAAAAAAAAAATCAATCTGAAAAGACTGTGCAACTAATGTAACATTCTAGACAAAGAAAAACTAGGGAAATAATGAAAAGATTATAGTTGACAGGGTTTGGTAATGGAAGGCAGAGCTTGGAGGAATTTTAGGGCAGTGAAACTACTCTGTATGATACTGTAGTGGTGGATACATGTCATTTCACACTCGTCCAAACCCACAGAATCATATCAGGAGCGAATACTCATCTGCACTGTGAATCCTGGGCAGTACTGATGTGTTAGTACACTCAGGTTCACTGATTGTAACAGATGTTTCAGTCTTATGGGGAATGTTGATAGTGGGGGAAGCTGGGTGGACAGGGTTAGGGGGACAGGGGTTAATACACAAAATTTCTGTGCTTTCCTCTTAATTTTGCTGTGAACCTAAAACTCTCTGAAAAAACAAAGTGTATTTTAAAAAACCACCAAACCAGCCTCCACAGTAAAAAAAAAAAAAAAAAAAAAAAAAATTAAAAAATGAGCAAAAGGGGCTGGAGACATAGCTCTGTGATAGAGCTCTTGCTTAGCATTACAAGGTCCTGGATTCAATCCCCAGAACAAAAATGAGAGAGAGAGAGAGAGAAAGAGAGAGAGAGAGAAGGAAAGGAAGAAGGAAGAAAGAAAAGGGAGGGGAGAAGGAAGGAAGGAAGAAAGAAGGAAAGTGAGCATAAGATATGAATAGACATTTCACCAAAGAGTGTATATACAGATAGTAAAATAAGTACTTAAAAAAAGTTCCATACATCATTAACTACTGGAGAAAAGCAGATTAAAATTAGGGCATGCTATCACTATATACTTATTAGAACAACTAAAATAAAACATAGTGACAACACAAAATGTTGGCAAGCATGGAGAAGCTGGATCCTTCATACATTGGTGGTAGGAATGCAAAATGGTACAGCCACTTTGGAGACAGCTTGGCAATTTCCTGTAAGATTGAACATACTCTTACCAGACTTACCAGACTCTTGAGCATTTATTCCAGAGAAATGAAAACTTATGTGCATTCAAAATCCATTACCTAAATGATCACATCAGTTTATTTATAATACCCCCAAAATGGGAAACCACCCTAAAGACCCTTCAATGGTGAATGGCTAAAGAATCTGGAACATCTATTCAATGGGCTACTCCCAAGCAATAAAGAGAAAGCCAATTTTCACAAGACCACACGCTGTGATTCCATCTTTGTAATTTTCTCAGAATGACAGAAGTATAGCTATGGAAGGCATATCAGTGGGTGCCAGTAAGTAGGAGAGCAGGGCAACTAGAGGGGTCTCCATTGCAATGAGAGTTCTACAGCCTTGGTGTGGTGCTGGTTACAATTACATCTGTATCAAAGGAGGAGGGAACACACAGACAGCCAGTGAAATATGAAGTGGGCCTACAGAGTGTACCAATGCCAAGTTCTGGATCTTGGTATCATCAAGTAAGGTGTTAACTCTGGGGGAACCTTGACAAAGGGTACATGGGGGTCCCTCTTTACTACTTTGCAGTTTCCTATATTCTATAATTATTTCAAAATTAAAAAGTGGGGTTTTTTTTGGACAATACTGAGGTTTGAACTCAGGGCCTCACTCTTGCCAGGTAGGCCCTCTATAACTTGAGCCACTCTGCCAGCCCTGTTTCTTTGGCAGCACTGGGGTTTGAACTCAGGGCCTCACACTTGCTAGGCAGGCGCTCTTATGCTTGAGACACTCCACCAGTCCATGGGTTTTTTTTTGTTTTTTGTTTTGTTTTAAAGAGATTAAGCTTATGTGAAGCAATACACCTCTCCAGAGAAACTGGAAGTTGCTTTTGGTTACATCCTAAACAATCAGTGACCAATGTCACTGCAATATTGATTATGAAATAAAGATCAACACTATCAGACAAGGCAATTCATGTTTTATATTTTCATTAAAAAAATAAATAAATTGGGCTATTGCAGGTGGGTGGATATAGGACCTGCATAACAGAGCCAGAGCGATGCTGCTCTTTTACTCTGGCTACAAGAATGGGTTGATTGTGGAGGAGAGCTAGCACTGCCACTGCTTCACCTACACTTGCTCCTAGGTGCACAACATGACTGCAAGCCCCAGTAACACTGCCCAGCACTAGAATACAGTAAGTGTTCTGTAACAAACTAGAAGTATCCAAAGCTACAAGAAGTGGATTCCAGACTTGTGGGAGCAACTGCCTGGGAGAATGTGACTACTACAGAACCATGTCCTAACTGCCAGCATCCCCGTGCTAGCTTTATGCAGCTACAGATGAGCCCATGACCACCTTCTACATGTGCTGCAGTGCTCAGTGTGGAAACTGCTGGAAGGACTAAGGTGGGGCTAGCTCAGCTGCTTCAGGTTCTCCTTACCTTGTACCCAACGGGGATTTCCAGTTGGGAGAATGGATTATATGTTTGGGGGTTTTTGTTTGGTGTAGTGGGAAGCTAACCATTATGGAGTAGAGGGTCAGGGTGTCAGGAAATATAGCCCATCTGCCAATCAGTGAATGAAATCATTAATGTCCAGAGAGTTTTTGTGTGTGAGAAGGGACCAGAAAGAAACTGTACTCAGTTTAAGGTCCTGTTCATTCATCATTTACATCGACTGAGCAATTAAATTTGCTTACCACCATCTAGCACTCTGTAATGTCTACACAACTTAGTACATTAAATGTACAGAATTCAATTTAACTGTTAATTGTAATGGCTAAAAAACCTTTAAGCCATTAAGAAGAATGAAATTATGTGCTTTGGAGTTTGCTCTCTATTTCTTAAAACAGTGAGACAATAATATTAGACTTCATTTTATGAAATACTCAGAATAAATTTTAACTAAATAGGTTTAGAGTTAACAGTTATATTAGATATTATACATTTAATGTAGTAAGCTGTACTATTTGTATTATGGCATTTGCTGGAAAATGAATAGAAGTAGAAATCTTCATGCCAAATGAAAGAAGCCAGTCTTACAAAGACGAGTATTGCATGTTTTTCCCCACTGTGGAATTTGGGGGGAAAAAAAACTAAAAATGAAGTCATGGAAATAGAAGGGGGGGCCACTAGGGAAGTGGAAGGAAAAAGAAAAGGTGGATGGAGAGGAAGATAACAGGAAGTAACAGAGGGATGCATATGACCAAAGCACTTTGTATACATGTGTGGAAATGACTTAATGAAACTACTTACTATGTACAATTAATATATACTACTAAGGCTGGGTGCAGTGGCTCAAGCCTGTAATCCTAGCTACTCAGGAGGCACAGTTTGGAAGGACTGCAGTTTGAGATCAGCCCTGGCAAAAAGTTAGTAATACTCTATCTCAACCAATGACTAGGTGTGGTGGAGCACACCTCTCATTCCAGCTACACAGGGACGCACAAATAGGAGAACTGTAGTCCAGGTCAGCCCTGACATAAAGCAAAAGCCTATCTCAAAAACAACCAACAGAGCTGGTGGGGTGGGCCTGGAGGTGTGGCTCAAATGGTAGAGCACATGCCTAAAAAGTGCGAGGTGATGAGCTGCCCCCAAATGTATATATAAACCAGTAAATAAATAAAAATAGCTTTTAAACATTCACTTTGAGAATTTCAAATATCAGATACCTAAAGTGTTCTCTTTCAATTTTATAGGTTTTTGCATTTATGTTTTCTATAATTAAATATTTGTGCCACGTGGGCAGCATTTTTACATGGTATTGAAATAGACACTCTAGACATAATATATTATTTCACAGTTATTGGACAACACAGAGATCATTATGGTCACTCACAACTACATAAAATTTTATACTTGTAAATAAAGTGTTAAGAAAAACACAGAGTACCTGATGAATCTGGGAATTCCCAAGAGATCTCAGGAATTTGATTTTCTATTCTTTTTCTGCAATACTGGAGTTTGAACTCAGTGCCTCATGCTTGCCAGACAGGCGTTCTATCACTTGAGCCACTCTGTCAGCCCTTTTTTTGTGTTGGGTATTTTCAAGATAGGGTCTCCCAAACTACTTATTTGGGCTGGCTTTGAACCACGATCCTCCTAATCAAGTGAGCCACTGGCACCTGACCAAAATTTAACACCTGTCAGGAATTTGCCTTTTTCTGACAGATGATTAGTCATTTGGTTCCACACCAGGACTGACATGCTCCCAGTACTGGCCCAGGGACTGGACTCATCTTGATCCTCTAATACCCACGCCAACTGACCCATGAGGGTCAGCATCTTCCATGAGGTCACCCACTCTCTGGCCATCCACTTCTCTTCCAGGAAGCAGAGTGCCTGTCACATGTTTCCAGCAAGCTCAGAACCTAAACAAAGGGTTCTGTCTGTGTTAAGGAACAAGGATGATATCTGGGGGGACTCTGCTGATCCCCACCACCAATCCCTGAGCACCCCTCTACTCTAAGGGTTTCTATCCGAAGAACACTCTTGGCATTGGGGCAGCTGGCACATCCCATGCTCCTGCACTAAGGTGCCCAAGCAGACCTTGGAACCTGAGGTCCCTCCATGTGGAAGGTCCCTTCTGAGCAGTCCTGCCCCAGTATGGAGGACAGCCACTCACTCCGGAGGAGCTGACAAGGGTCTGTCAGTTCTTAAACACTCAGGTGCTCTGTAATTTGGGGCAAGAGGTATACAGGCTTACCGATGGCACTGAGAGCATGCTGGAGCTCCAGGGCAAAGGCAGTGAGGGGCACATCCTCAGACACAGGCATCGCTGCCACAGTAGACAGGTTACTGGCTGGGTTTCCTGAGTCCCACTTGCTTCCTGTTGTGTGGAGCCCAAGCTGGTGACCTGCAGAGCACAGGGCCAAATGTGAGCCTGAGAGAGTGGGCCACAGCTAGGACAGCCTCAGTGTTTCCAGATAAAACATGGTGCAAACAGGATCTGTTCTCAGTCTCACAATGACCACAGAGATGTCCCTGCCTCTTCCTCATGGATAATCAGCCCTGGGTTCCACACTAGGACTGTCATGCTCCCAATGCTGACCAAGGGAGTAGACCACTTTTGATCTTCTAGAACTTGGTGGTTCAGAGTGCAATGAACTGACAGAACTTACCCGTCACTCTAGAAGCACTGTAAGCTGAGAAGACCGACAAACACATTTTATCATCTTATCTACATGGGATCTCCAGAAGCAAAGCAGCACAGAAGAACCCAAGGAAGGTTGCACTGGGTCAGGGACAGTCCTGGGAGACACCAGCAGCGATGCTTGTGGGAAAAATTGAGGCAGGCAGAGCCTCCCTTCCCTGATACCATGAACTCCAAGGGTCCCACAGGGCTCACTCAGATGGCTGGACCTTCTCTCTGGCCCCACATGGGCTGAGGGGGTTAAGGGGCCCCCTGGCTGACATAACTGCAAGCCAGAGACACCTAGGTCCTTAGTTCACCAGCCTCTGTCAGAAGATCCCAGCACAAGCTCACTTCCAACAACAAAGGTCCAGGCCAGCCCCAGGCAATAACATAAAACTGTATCTGAAAAATAACTAAAAAACAAAAAAGGGCTGAGGGCATGGTTCAAATGGTAGAGTGCCCGCCTAGCAATCCCAAAACCCTGAGTCCAGCCCCCCTCCCTCTCTCCTGTTGCTTCTCTTTCCCCCTTCTCTCTCCTCAATGTGGTCTTTTGCTCTCCCTGCAGCAGCTCCTCCTCGAGGAATCCTCTTCCTCTCATCTTTCTCAGCCACTTCAGATGTCAGAACCCTCCTGTTAGGTAGAACCAAAGACTCTATTGCTCACTTTGCGTACCTCTTTCTTAGTTTTTAAGGACTTGCAAGGTTCTAGCTCTTGCCTAAAGGGAGAGGGAGCAGCCACACCCCACCTGGCTGCCACACACCATGACAGACCCTGGATGTGATGCAGCAGGAAGCTGTACCACAAAAAGAAGCAGGGCCCCCTCCCTGTGGGGGCTGTCTCCAGGGAGATGACCAGCACTGAGCAAGCACCAGCAAGCATCTGACCCCTGAAGCCCCTGCAGACATACATGCCCTGCACCAGCACAAGGCACCCTCCCCCAACCAAAGGGAGGAGGTAGAGAAAGGAATTTTTCAGATCCGCTTATGCTGACCTGGTCCAAGCAGAAGCTGCCCAGAATACTTACTGAAGCCCTGAGAACTAGGGATGGTGCAGAACACCAGTCAGCTCTCACGCTGGTTCTGGGAAGTACAGGCAGGACAGAAAGAGCACTACGGTAAAGGGCCATGACACCTGCATTAACATTCAAACCACAGTCCACAAAAGTGGGCCAGAACATGAGCTGAATATAAGAACATTGACAGCCTGCTAAAATAGAAGATTTAAATGGGAACACAATACTCAAAATATCAGGATATGACCCAAATTATCAGATGTACAGAGAGCAAGGAAAATTTTAACTAGAATGAGAAAAGTCAATCAACAGACAAAAATGACATGTCACCGATGTTAGTACTATTTGACAAGAACAATGAAGCAGCTACTATAACCAGCTACAACCAGCAATCAGGAACACTCCTGAACCAAATACAGAAACAGAATGTCTTAGCAAAGACAAAGAAGAACCAAAATACAATAACTGAAGGAAAAAACTCTCTGGAGGCTGGGTGTGGTGATACACACCTGTAATCCTAGCACCCTGGAGGCTGAGGCAGGAAGATAGTAAGTTCAAGGCCAGCTTGGGCTCCATAACAAGTTCGAGGCCATCTTGGGCTACGTAGTGAAACTCTGTCTCAAAATAACAACAATGACACAACTGCAAAACTCTCTGGATAAGCTTAATATCAGAATCAAGGTGCTAGAGGAAAGATGAAGTGATATTGAAGACAGATCAAAAGAAACCATTCTATCTGAACATCAGAGAGAAAAAAAAGATATAAAACATGAACGGTACCCTAGATACCTTCGGGACAATAACAAAAGGTCTAGCATTTATGTCATTATGTTTCTAGAAGAGGAGAAAGGATACAAGGTTGAAAGAATATGTGAAAAAATAAAGGTTAAAAACTACCCCCCCAAAAAAAAACTTCCCCAATTTGGGTTAGGGTATAGTTCCATGGTAGAACACATGCTTAGCATGCATTAGACCCTGGGTTGTGTCCCCAGCTCAAAAAAAAGCAAAACTCCCCAAATTTGGTAAAAGATATAAGCCTAAAGTAAACTGATCCCAAGCAGCATAAACCCAAAGATTTTTGTACCTAGACATTTTGGAATCAAATTTCTAAAAACAAAAGATGAAGGGAAAGGACTGGAAGCTTACTCAAGTGATAGAGCACTTGCTTAGTAAGTAAAAGACCCTGAGCTCGAAACCCCAGTTCCACACACACACACACAAAAAACCAACAACAAAAAAACCCATGAAAAACCCTCTTGAACACAGCCAGAGAAATAACACATTACCTATTTGAGAACAATTTAAAAGCAGGTTGAATATCCCTTTTCCAAAATGTTTGGGGTTAAAAGTGTTTCACATTTTGACATTTTGGACTTTTCTGATTTTGGAACAACTAAGTAGACTAGTAGCTAAACATTCCCAATCTGAAAATCCAAAATACTCCAAAATTCACAATGACATGCTGCTGGAAAAGTTGCAATTTTTTAATGCAAATTTTTAGGGTTGATGAATGTAGGAGTAATAGTTAAGATAACACACAAGGAAAAGAACATGACCTAAATATTGATAAGTATTCTCATTCTACTTACAGCAAAAAAAAAAAAAAAGAGGAAAAGAATGGATACAGTAACCCCTAGCATGAAAATATTCTACAGAAGAGATAGTACAAACCAGAATTAATAATTAAAATGGGATGCTCAAGAAGGTCAATCTAAAAGACAGAAAAGAGAAAACAGAGTAACATTCTTTTCAAAAACAGAAAAAAATAATAAAATGGCAGCATAAACCTAACAGAATAATTACATTGGCTGTAAATGATACACACAAATAAGCTGAAAGGTAAAGATTGTAAGAAGAGATAATAGAAACACAACGCTGTAAGAAACTTCACACACACTGGTACAGGCAAGTTGAAAGCAAAATGAAGAGAGATATTGCATGTGTTGAATGGTGTTCTTCTCCAAATTCATATCCACTCTAAAACTCAAAATATGGCTTTGGAAATAGGGCCTTGCAGAGTGATCAAAGTAAGATGAGGTCATCCTGGAGAAGGGCTCACACCCTTTACTTTGTTGCTTCCATATTACAAGCACATTGACAAGCCTGCTATAACACAAAATTTAAGTACACCAAGTGTATCGAAAGCAAAGAGCCAAACAGCAGCATGTCTATCCACAAATTCAACCTTTCAACAAACATGTAGTGTTGTACACTAGTCATAGCTGTAAAGATAGACACAGACCTCTGCCTTCATGTAGCTCATATGCAAGGACAGACCAGAAATGAGCTAGCTAGGGAGAATCGGAGGAAAATGAAGCAGAATATGAAGACTGAGAGCACTGGGTAGATAGGGAGACCAGGGAGACTGCACTGAAAAGTGGGTGCATGATGTGTGAGGGGATACTCCAGGTAGGGAGCATGAAGGCGGAAGAGAGACATGCACAGTGTGCACAGAACAGCAAAAGGCTAAACAATAACTTTAGCATTATCACATATCTGGGATCCAGAGAAACAGGACAGTCCTAGAACACAGAGCAATCAGTAGCTCCCCCAAAAAGTGCATTCTCAGAACTAGAAGAAAAAAAACTGGGGTAGATTTTTAATTCACAATATACTAGAGTTGTTTTACCATCTTTTCATGCTAGGCACTGGACAGACACAGCAGCCTCCAACTATCCCACTCTCCTTGGAGGCTTTCTCCAAGAGGCTTCCTCTGTTTCCTTTTTCTAACTAGCTAACCAAAATAGGAGGGAAATAGATCACATTTCTTTTTACACATAAGCTTCTCTCCCTGCTGCCCACATTGAGACATACTTAGCAAAATTCTCCTGCACTGCCAAGATCTAAGCATTCTCCTTACCCCACCCTGTTCAGAGTTATCCCTGGCAAGAGCTCTGGGGACTTTCCTGAGGGTTGGGCAGCCCAGCATCCACCATCCCAGGACCTCTGTGCCTTCTCCTCCCTCCTGGGGCAGGTGGGGCTCTAGGGTGGAGCTGCACTTCACAGTGGGTTGTAGGCCTGGGGATTGCACTGTAGGGAACTCTAAGACAGGGAAAGTGTGAGATGGAGTTGGCAGGGCTGAGGTAGAGCTCCAAGGTAAGGGTCCAACCCACCTGTCGCAGATCCCTGCTGGAGACTGCCCAGGATCTTCTCGCCTAAGAGATGAATCAACCGAGTCACCACCTTGGGGAAGAGAAAGAAGAGAAACTCCAAATCACATTTTGTAAACCATGAAATGCTGGGAGCTGAAGACCCCACGATCATGCTCAATCAGGACATTGGGCCACTTTTCCAAAATTGCCAAGGACTGGGAAATCACTGTGGGCTGTGGATGACAAGGGCCTATATATGCCCTTCTGGTTGCCAGAGAAAGGAACTTGAATGTGAAGTGATGAGTTGGTCACCCTGTCAAGGGTGGCTGTGGTTAGACAGCAGGTGCAAGAGGTGCATTAAGGGTATGCACCTTGAGCCAGCTCCAGGCTCCCATACTCACTTCAAGGCAGGCAGACAACTCAAGAAAACCCCATGACCCCAAGTTAGGGCAAGGACAGATCCAGGGTACAACTGCAGGCATGGACTGAGTACCAGATGATGACCAGAAATTATCACAATTTTGGCAACAATAATGTTATTTTTGGTTGAATTTGTTTTTGCTTTTTGGGTTTTTTTGTTTTGTTTTGAATAGGTTCTGCTATATAGCCCAGGCTTGCCTGGAACTTACTTTGTGGCCCAGATTGGCCTTAAACTCCTGATCTTTTTGCCTCAGGCTCTGCAGTGCTGAACCAGAAGGATGTACCACCATGCCTAGCTTATATTATTGTTACTATTACTACTCACTACTATTACATCATTACTATAGTATGGGGCCTCAAGCTCTGCCTCTTGAGCCATACCCACAGTCTTTAGTTTTTAGAGTTGTAAACTAGTGTATTTAAGATCTCAATGTCAAAGTATCTGCAATGTTCTTGTTAAAAAATTAATTTGGCGAATGGTGAAGTGGCTCAAGTGGTAAAGCACCTACATAGCAAGCACAAGACCCTGAGTTCAACCCTTGGTACTGAAAAAGAAAACTCATTTTTAATTTGACAAAAATTGTTACAATTTACTTTTTTTTTTTGAGGTGCTGGGATTTGAACTCGGGACCTTCACCTTGAGCCACTTCCCAAGCCCTTTTGTGAAGGTTTTTTTTGATATAGGGCCTCATGTACTGTTTTCCCAAACTGGCTTTGAACTGTGATCCTCCAGCTCTCTGCCTCCTGAGTAGCTAGGATGATAGGCGTGAGCCACTGGCACCGGGCGACAATTTACTTTTAAACACTTTAATATACAAATAAAGTGATTTAGGGCTCGGCATGGTGGTTCATGTCTACAATCCCAGCTCGTGGGAGGCTGGGGCAGGAAGATTACGAGTTTGAAGTCAGCCTGGGCTGCATAGTTTTAACTTCCTGCTATACATACATACACATATACATACAGTGATTTAAATGTTGGGTTTTTTTCCTTTTTTGTGGGGCTGGGGATTGAACCTAGGGCCTGCACATGCTAGGCAAGTGCTCTACCACTGAGCTGCATGCCAGCTGAGTTAACTGTTCTTTAGTTCCTAAGGCTTACAAGATGACAAAGGACAGTCTAGGTGGCAGTCTAGCCACCATCACTCCTAGATCTGTAGAGAATAATCTGAAAGAGATGCCTCTAAATGACTGTAAACCTTAGATGACCTGGAGCCAGCTGGATGCACTGGGAGGCATTCTGATACAGCTCCTGGAAACAAATGCTCTTCTTCCTTGGATTCAGCCACCCTCCAACAAGTTAACTTGGGAATGCTTACTCGCCTCAGGATGTTGGTGTCAGAGACCCACAGAATACAAATGAAACTGTCCAGGTTTTAAGATATGAGACCAAAAAACAGTCTGTGCAAAAGAGTCTGAAACAGAAGCCACAGAACATGGTATTTTTTGTTTGTTTTTTGGCAGTACTGGGGGCTTGAACTCAGGACCTCAAGCTTGCTAGGCAGATGCTGTAGCACTTGAGCCACACCAGAACCTAGCATGATGTTTGCATGCAGCCAGTCCAGCACCAACTGTTAATGAGGGCTATATGAAAAGAAAATCCACATGACTCAATGCCCTTAGCTCACACCTGTAATCCTAGCTTCTTGGCAGGCTGAGGTTGGAGGGACTGAAGTTCAAGGCCAGTCTGGGCAACTAGTTTGTGTGACCTCATCTCTAAAACAAACAGAGCAAAATGGATGAGAGTTGTGGTGCTAGCAGTAGAGCACCTGCTTTCCAAGTGCAAAGCCCTGAGTTCAAGCCCCAGTTCCACCAAAACAAATAAATAAAATAAAAACTGTCACACATTTTAAAATGTTGCTTTAAAAAGCTCATATGATTATGAAAAAATTGAAACACACACAAAGCAGAGACAATTCCATTCTTTATCCTCCTCAATAGCCTCATTTCACACACACCCCTGGACCTCTGAAGCCAGTCCCAAGGATGGCATTTTATCCATTAATATCTAAACATGTTAAAACATAACATAACTATAATTGTCACAACTAAAAATTAACAATTCAAAATGAAAGGTAATTTCTAAAAAAAAAATTATCTGTCAAGTGGTAAAGGTTCAATATAGGCCAAGAAATGCATATGCTTGGTATCTTTAGTCACTGGGGAAACTAATTCACCACTGTGAGATGCCACTTCTTGCCCAAGAGAATGGCTCATATCAAGAGGGACCCATGCTGTGTTTGCATGGCTTGGAGAGCAGGGCTCGGGCACTATGTTGGAGAACTCGTCTGCAGTTCCAAAAGATACAATCCACCCTGTGACCTAGCAATTCAACAACAGGAGTGGATCATCTGTCCATAACAATACTTGTTAAGAATATGCTTAGCAAGCTGGGGCATGGTAGCACATGTTTGTAATCTCAGCTACTCAACAGGCAGAGGTAGGAGGATCATGAGTTCAAGGCCAGCACAGGAAAAGGTAGCAGTAAGACCCTGTCTCAAAAATAAAAGGCTGGGAGGTGTGTCTCAAGTGGTAGAACATCTGTCTAGCAAGTGTGAGGCCCCTGAGTTCAAAACTCCACTACAACCAAGAAAAAAAAGAATGCAGGGAGGTTACCTTCCCTGACACTTCAAGCTTAGTTAAGATATTCTTGAGCTGGGTGTATGCCTGTAATCACTGTTGATTGTGGTTGGAAGCCACAATCCCAAAGCTAATGAGAACCCATCTTAACAAATAGGGCAGACATTATGGTATGCACCTATAACCCAAGCTACTTGTGAGGCCATAGGTAGGAGGATCACAGTCCAAGGCCAGACCCAGGCAAAAACACAAGACTCTATCCAAAAAGTAACTAAAGCTGGGGGTGTGGCTAAAGTGGTAGAGCACCTGCCTAGCTAGTGTGGGGCCCTGAGTTTAAAACCTAGTACTGCCAAATAAAATAAAAATAAGAAAAACAAAAATGAAAGACAAGGTGCCTGGCAGCCTATTCCCCAAACTGCAACAACCTGAACATGCACCAACCAGAAACAGATGGATGAACCGTGGTGCACAGTGCAGCACTGCTCAACAATGAAAGAAGCCATGCACAGGGCAGTCCCTCAGAGACTCAAGACTTGGTTATTCCCAGAGCCATAGGCTAGCAGGAGTGCCAGTGAGAAGGGTTGGAAGGCCCTCTGGTAAGCCTCAGAAGTAATGTGACAGACCTGGGCTCTGATCAGGATGGGATGGCTCTGATCAGGATGGGATGGCTCTGATCAGGATGGGATGGCTCTGATCAGGATGGGATGGCTCTGATCAGGATGGGATTCCTCTTTGTTTGCATGGCGTACACTGCACGCTGAGTAACAATCGTAGACCTGCAGTTCCTCAGCCATCCTTCCCATCACTACTGACTGTCCTTGCACAGCCAAGACCAGGCCTCCAAATCTCCAAGGCCATGTTCTTTTCCATCTCATCTGTGATCCCCATTGTACACAAAAGCAGTGAGGACAACCAGAAAAGGCAGCTGCATCAGCCACCTGAGATGCAGCCCCCTGCTCCACCACTACTGCACTGCTACCCGCCATTCACACTCTTCAAGTTCCACACTACCTGTCCCAAGGTGCACAGGTGAGTCCCTCCCCAAAAAAAGCACACTCTTCTCTGTCACTTTCCTCCTACCATCCCACCTGCCTGCCCCAGGTTATATTTGTCTGCACTTAACTAAGCAAGATCCCTGAACCACCCTTACCTGAGGGTACCTACGCTTGATGGACGTCAGGGCTCCTGTGGGCAGCTTGGCCAGTTCTGAGTCCCGGACAGCATGTACTGTGGTTGCCCTGGCCTGGTGTGTCAGGGTCTCCACCTGAGGAGGGGGAGCCAGATGCTGGAGCCCCACAGTTCAACCAAAAACCCTAGAGGATCAGAGTGGACACCCCTGAACCCAGTCCAATGCAAGTGGTGGTCAAGTGACAGTAGCCTACAGGAGAGTCACACACAGCTGCAGGGTGCAGAAAGCAAGGAAGGGAGCAAAAGGACCTCCTCAAGCCTCTACTCTGCATGGGTGGGAAAAGCCAGTGAGTGCTTGTGTGAGACTGTGCTGTCAGAACCACTGGAGCCAGGCATAGTGGCTCATGCCTAAAATCTCAGCTACTCAGGAAGTATAGATTAGAGGATCTTGGTTTGAGGACAGCCTGAGCAAAAACTTAGCTGAGATCCCATCTCAATCAATAAGCTGGACATGGTAGCATATGTCTGTGATCCCAGCTATTCAGGAGACACAGGTAGGATAGCAGTCTGAGGTCAGCTCCAGGAAAAAGCAAGACTCTATCTGAAAAAATAGTAACTAAAGCAAAAAAGGGCTGGAGGTGTGGCTCAAGTGGCACAGCCCCTGCTCAGCAAGTGAGAGGCCCTGAGTTCAAACCACAGTACCATCAAAAACAAAAAACATACACAAAAAACCCCCCAAAACATTGGGATATGCAGGAAGCCACTAAAAACCACAAGTGCTCCCAATAACATGGACAGGTCCTAGACACAGTCACTGGCCAACTTTGTGGGCTGACACAGACAGTCTGAACACCACTTCTGAAAGAAATGTCCTTAGAGAAGAGTCACACCTTCCACAAGGGAGCCTACATCAGATGTGCCTCTCAGGGAGACATCTGAGGGATCCTGCAGGAGGCAGAGATACCTGCTTCAGCATCTACTCAGTTGTTAAGCATCCACCCAAGAGACAGCAACTGGACTCACAGGTTGCGTGCATGGCCACCCTAATATTGGAGCCATGTCAAGCATTGGGAAGCCCCAGACCCTAACATGGGAGACCCACTGCCCAGGTGGAGCTCAAAAGGGAGGCAAGACTGGTGCAATACTGGCACTAGAGGCTGTGCAGGAGGATGTATGTGGGCCCCAGCATACACCTGTTAAGTCATCTTAAGGATGCTGACCCAAGACCCTGCCACCAGATGGCAAAGAGCTCCTAGGTATCCCTTCACACTGGCTCAAATTTTAAAAAGCATTGGAAGGGGCTGGCAGAGTGGCTCAAGAGATGGAGCCCCTACCCTGAGTTCAAACCTCAGTACTGCAAAAAAAGAGCAGAGGAAGCCCCTGAGCTCCAAGAATCCACTGGAATCCCCTGTAGACCCATGAGTTCACCACTGCAGCATCTTGGGACTGGTTAGGTGCAGCTCAGATCAAAGGACCTGCTTGAATCAGGCAGCCCCAGGAAGCCAGGGTGAGCTGCCAGTCACTTTCACTGGAGACCTTTTGGAGGCAACTCTGGCTACTACCCATCCACCAGAGCTCCCTGGCCGGGAGCCAGGGAGATCCTGAAACCAGGGACAGGTATCCTGGGCCTCCAGAAGGCCTCATAAGTTCACCCCGATGTGTTCCCAGACACAGACCATGACCTGAGGCTCAGAGCAGACCACAGGTCACTTTTGGGGCTCCATTCCCCATTCCAGGTAACCAGCCAAGCCAGTTCCCAGAGTGTCACGGAAAACAGAGGGGAGCCCAGCACCTACCACACCAATGAGGTCTCCACGGCCATACTCCCCCGCTAGGCGCTTTTTCCCATCATCTTTCCGGATTACAGAGCGCAACCGGCCACTGAGGACAATGTATGTGCAGTCAGACTTGTCCCCCTGCCTGTGGAGACACAAAGACCCTCAGCTCACCAGCCTGAGTTGCCCCCAGGATGCAAAAGATGTTAAAGAATGTAGTCTTCTCAGTAAAGCTTTTTGTTGTTGTTGTTGTTTTGGAAAGTATAATCACTTTTCATCTAAAAATTTTTCATTAACACATAGGTTTACCATTAATTTTAAATAAGTATTTTTAAAATTTCTTAGTTAAAATTTTAAACACTATACAGATTGATAGCTATAATCTAGATCTGATCTGTAATCTAGATCACACCTGACCTGCACAGGTGTAAAGCTGGCTGTGGGCAGCAGAGGGCAGCCCAGCTAGGGTCACAAGAAAAAACTCAAGAACAGTTAGCACACCAGTGCTTTACAAAGGTCACTAATAATGGGCTTTTGGGTCCTTTGAAAGGATGGTATGGACTTATGCATATGGACATTGAAAAACGTCCATGAAAAATGTGCTGTGTCTGTATATGTGCAGGTGTGCCCATGACGGGTGTTTCCATGGGTACCTGGGGATATAAGGAAATCCATTCCTCAGTATATAATCTCTACAGGAGTAAAGCTTGGTCTATCAGCTGTACCTCTCTGTCAAGCCCATTGGGACATTCACTGAGAAAGGGAGATACCTGAGGGTCTCTCTGTACACCACGTATCTGCAGACCCCTCTGTATGTGGTACATCTGTGGACCTCTCTGTACAATGCACACCTGTGGGCCTTACCTGTATATGGCTCGTCCTGCCTCCACTTCCATCCAGTCCAGAGCAAAGTCAATCTGCCGCACGAAGGATGACATCCTCTTCACAACAGTGTGTGCCACACTCAGGACAACGGCTGGCTGCTTCCGCATGATCCTGCCGGATAGCCTTGAGTCACTTTCCCCTTCCCTCTAATCTCCCAATCCTATCAGGTCCATTTCTCACTGTCACGGGGTATGAGAGTAGGTGGGATCTATAACCTCACCTGCCAAACAGGAGTCTCACCCACTTTGAGGCAACACTGAAGGCTGGGTCAGAAAATGGTGCCTGGGCAACTGCCTGTTCTAGGCAGTGGGGAGCAGCGGGTGCCTTCACTTAGGATTGTCCATCCAATGGAGGACCTTGAGCACAGGCCACACATGAGGCTGGGTCCTGGCAGTGGGCTCCTGTACATCATGTTTGAACTGAATGCTGATGGCAGTGAGTGCCATGAAGTGCACCAGTAGCAGCAGAGTTACCTCAAGGGACATGGAAGGCACAGTTCTGCCCCAGGAAGGTGCAGGGTGGCTGGGGGCGCCGACTCAGGAACATCATCATCCCCCTTGTGGCTGTGTGTGGACAGACTACTTGGGGCAAGGCAGCAGCAGTGATATCCTGGTATCTCAGGGGGTTGGTGGGGAGGCTGCTTTTCATCTGCACTGGGCAGGGGAGAGTCAGGGCTAGAGGACTCCAGGCCCTGGCAGAATAATAGGAGACAGACCTGCCATTGGCTAAGAAACAGGAGCTCTGCCTCACACATTAAATGGTAGGAGCCCTTTCACCACCCCAGAGCAATGGCAAGACAGCCGCTGGATGATGGCTCAGGAAAAGCAAATTTAATACTTTTATTCCCAGGGTTAGACGAAAACCCCCAGAATAGTGGCTTATGTCTACAGGGTGGAAAATGCCTGATCAGGGGCTCTCATACCATGCACAGACACCCCCCCACACACACAGACACACAAAAAGCACGTGGACAAGAACATAAACAGACATGCACACACAGACAAGGATGTGTACAGACATACACACACAGAAATTGTAGGGTTGCAGAAAGATACATGTATACAGGCATGGAAGGATCAGGCTACATCAAGGTTAAATGAGCAGGGAGAAAGCAAGGCTGTGTGCCACTGGGCAGTTGCCCTTTCCGAGTCTCTCCCTCTTGCAGACAGGCAGAGAACAGGGGCTGGGAGGTTGTAGGATGGGAACATGTCCTGTGTCTCTAAGGCAGGTAGATCCATGCAGTTAAGAAGGAAGACAAACTCAGCCTCCTTGCTAGTGGAAGGACCTGGGTATATTTCTACTTCTTTAAGCCTCAGTTTCTCCATTGGTAAAATGAGTTTCCCCATCCTCACCCCCAGAACACTGAAGACATCAGAGGACACAGTATCAGGTGCCAAGCCAGAGGCATTCAGACCAGTCCTGGGAAACAGAGGCTGGGCAGGGAGCTCTTCTCCACTGTGCCAAAATGCTGCCCCACCACCATCACCACACTTTTGAGGGAGGACTGAACAGAGTTCAGTGTGGTGTAGTATTGCTCAGGTGAGGTCGCCACCTCCTGGACAGCTGGGACATAGCTCTGGAAGCACCTTGGCTGAGACTCAGTCTTTAACCTGATAACTACCTTTGGGCCCCTGACCACTGGCCACCTACCTCATCCTCAGACAGAAGAGCTCCGAGATCTGGCCTGAGGGAGGCAGAGGCTTTCTAGAAACATGCTCGTAAAGGTGGCTGTGGGTAGTGCTAATGGATACAGAGATGGAGGCTGAACTGAACTCTGGGTTCTAGGAAAATCCTAAACCTGATGGACCAAAGACCCCATCAAGGAGGAAATGAAGGTAGGTTTTAATTTGGGGCCCATGATCTCCAGTGATAAGTGGTTTCCCTGACAGGATGCCCTCCTGACCACAGGGCCAGCAAAAGACTCAGCCTGGGGTCTCCCAGGCAGGCTGAGGACATCTCTGGGCCTGAAGGATAGAACCTGGGGTCAGACAGACAAAGGATTCTAGCCTGATGGCAGTAGGATACCAACCCACACAAAGAAGGTAGTGAGCAGGGTACTCTTCTTACCCATCTTACCTTCCTACTCCAGAACTAGCCTCCTGAGCATGAGCAGGCTGAAGAGCACAACTCTGTGGCTTCAAACCAGACCCCAATACCGAGTCCAGTCACCAACGTGAATGGTAATGGAATGAATCCATGAGAGACACAAGCTGTGTTAGCACCACACACCCAGGGAGATAGTGCATATCTGCAGGCCAGGTTGAGGCCCTCTGGCTGACTTATTGGGTCTGTGTCTTGGTACCAAGGCCTGTGCCCACCTAGCTATAACAGGAGCTCAAAGGCTCAAGAAAGGGAAGAGAAGGCCTGGCCCGCAGGGGCAGAGGACCCAGGAGGCAGGAGACAGGAGAGTGAGCAGGAGAGCAAGAATACAGGAAGTGTTCACTGGCACCTCAGGGAGGGTCAGAGGAGGGAGGGACTTGACTCACTCATAGAAGTGGGCCTTAGAGATGGACAAGAAACTGCAGTCCCTGTTGGCCCTTATGGTGAACATGAGGGGCTCGCCAGTGAGTACTGCCAGCTGACCCACCATTTCCCCAGGATGTGTAAGGAACAGGCAGGTGTCTTCCTGGCTGTCAATCTTCCGTTGGTACACATGCAGCAGTCCCGAGACCACAAACAAGATGTTGACATCCTGACAAAATCAGAGGTGGCCTGGCCTCAGGGGGATGCATGAGGCAGTGGCCTGGGATGTCCCATGGGCCCACAGCCCAGGAAGGTTATCTACTGGGGCCTGGCTGGGCCCCACAGAGCCACACATGGTGCAAGCAGCAGCTTCTTTGTAGAATCTATGCACAGATTCACACTGAGAATATCCCAGAAAGCCTGTGGTTTTTATTATTCAGTTCAGCAGTGCCTGTGGTCATTTATCAATCACAGGAAATTTTTTTTCAGGTCTCACATGCATGTACTTTCCCCACCCCGTGCCCTCACACTTCTCTACACAAACATGTTTGCCCAATTTCCCCATACAAGTGAGAGTGTGGTCTCTCTCTTTGAAGTCTATGGGGTGGCCTGCATAGCCACATCTCTGCAGCCTGATGAGTGCTGTCTTGAATGAGGGCCAATGCTTGACCCCTCCCACACCTCTGCCACCCTGCACATATCACACACATTTTAGTCCAACATCTGCACATATGCCCCACAAAACCACTCAGTGCCCAACCCCAACTTCTTGGTGTCCACTGTGGAACTCTTCCTGAATGTGTTCACCCCATCACAATCTCTCAGATTCCAGTAAGAGGACTAGTGCCTGCCATACAAGCGTGGGACAGCCAAACACCCAGGCCCTGGGCTGCCCAAGGGCACGTAGCCTCTGAGATAGTACCCAGAGACACAGTGGCCCACAGATGGAATGACTCCCTGACAACTGTGTCTAGCTGCTCTAGTACTCCACACTCCATCCAGACTGAGCTATGGGGCTGGGCAGTCCCCGTGACCAATCCCTAGGAATCAGGGCTTTCAGCTTACCTGGTCTCCCTGTTTTGACACCATAGTGCCTGCAGGGACATGAAGAAACATCACCCGGCCATCCAACAGGGATGGGTCCTAAAACACAAAATAGTTTTCAAAAAGTAAAAGCATGACGGATGGAGGCCACATCAGGCAGGACAGAGGCATGCAAGTGTTTCTCCTACAACTGTCCACTAATACTGATCCAATGGATACCAGAGCACACTGTAAAAAGGATCCATAGAAAATGCAGAAATGGAGACCAATACTTTGTGAATTTATGTAAGAGAGAGAGAGAGAGGATTTCATTTCAATAAGAAAGGGCAACTAATTTCATGAAGGTTGCTGACATAAAGGCAAGACAATTGAGTGGGGTAGCCCTTCCAAACTCGTGGCAAAAGGCTAGTGGGACAACACACGGGACAGCACAAGTCCTGAGTATGATACCTGCAATCATCTGAAGACATCAAAATACCATGCTTCACGGTGACAGTAGAACAAAAATAAGAAGCTCACCTTTAGAAGACAACAGGGAACTATATCATGAATTTAAACTTCCCAAACCAGGCTGGGGATATAGCTCAGTGGTAGAATGTGTGCTTACTATGCACAAGGCCCCTGTGCACTACAAAGACAAATAAACAAACCTCTCAAGCCCTGTGAAGAGACCTAAAGCCCTGTTCATTAAAGGCTGAAAGCATCTCCCAAAAGAAAGAACTGGCATCATATGCCTCCTGAAGGAAACAGGACACCTGTGACCTGGTTTGGCCAAAACAGGAGGGACAAAGAGGTAGAGGAAAAGGAAAAGAATCTGATCCAGCAACTACACCCAACTACCAAGCTACGTGGAGAGCCACTGACTGCCATGTGAACCTACAAGAAAGAAAAGTCAATAGAGGGAGGGACAAACAGAGAAGAGATGCTAGGCACACACCAAGCAGCTCTAGAGTAGACCTCACAGTCAAATATTTAGAGCATTTATAATACTGCTAGAAAGCTAGACACTGGCTAAACAGTCTGACCCCAATGTAGGAAGACAATGTACTCTTAGATCTCCCATAGTATCAAACACACAGTACCAAAATACAACACACAGTACCAAAGACAGAGAACCCAACAAGAGAGAAGACCCTGAGCAAGAACTAGCAGGGACTGAAAAGAATAGAAGAGACTCCAAGAGACCTAACAAAAAGTAAGCACTGCTGAACACAAAAGTCAAACCTAACATATTTCTCAAGAACTAGAAATATTTCAATAGTGACAGCAGGTTTTTCTAAAGAAGTAGAAGTTCTAGAACTATAGAAAATAACCAAACTAAAAAACTCAATGTAGCAGGGCATGGTGGACTCCTATAATCCTAGCTACCTGGGAGGCAGAGATAGAAGGATCACTATTGAAAGCCAGCTTGGGCAGACACCCAAGGTGTTAGCATGACACCACATATGGAAAAACAAAAAACAAACAAACAAACAAACAAACAAAAAAAACAGGACTGGGGTTATGGCTCAAGTGATAGAATGCTTGCCTAAGAAGAACAAGGTCTTGAGTCTAAATCCCAGTATTGCCAGAAAAAAAAAAAGGAAGGAGTAAAGGAACGGGGCTGGGTATCTCAGCGATATAGCCCGTGCATAGCATACATGAGGCCTTGGGTTCAAATCTCAATATTTAAAAAAAAAAAAAAAAAAGAAAGAAAGCAACAGAGAAAGTATACCGAGCCACTCTCCCCTTGACCAGACAGAACACAAAAGTCACTATCAGAGAACTCTGAAAACCTCACAATAGCAGGTGGACCAGTATATCAAAGCATTGAGGAAATGAGGACAGAGAGAGGTGCCTGATTTTTCTATCCTCCCTTTATTCTTCAACTTTGACCTAAAGATTGGAGCAGTCAAGAAGCCATGCTGAGCATGACTGCAGATGATAAAAACATCCAGGAAAACCCCTTTCTGAACAGGGGACTAGGGATGTGAGGAGACACCTTCTTTTTCTCCAGGAGCCTCCAGAGTACACCACCGAGGCACAGGTGACAAGAGCAGACAGAAGGGAGAGGAACAGAAGGAAGGCCTGTGGTGGACTGGGCTCCTGACAGAGGCATAGCAGATCAGGGAGAAAGGCCTGGCCTTGGTAGGATGCAGGGCTAGCCAGGGGTTCTATGAAGAAAATTATATGATTATATGAAAATTAATTCTATCAGCATTAAAGCCTATGAAGGCAAAAACAAATAAATAGAACTTTTGGAAAATATAGAAAAAAATCTTTATGATAGCAGACAAGAAAATATTTAATAAGTGCACAAAAAGCAGTAGGCATAAAGGAAAAGACAGATACTATATACTATATTAGGGTTAGGAACTTCGGTCCAGATACCGTTCAGAAGACACATCCTAGTGTAGATTATGTGCAAGTTCCATAGTCAAGCCAGAAGCCGCTGGCTTACGCCTATAATCTTAACTACTCAAGAGGCAGAGATCAGAGGGATCACAGTTTGAAGCCAGTCCTTGACAAATAGTTTGCAAGACCCTATCTCAAAAATACCTGACACAAAAAATGGATGGTGGAGTGGCTCAAGTGGTAGAGCACTTACCCAGCAAGCATAAGACCCTAAGTTCAAACCCCAGTACTGTCAAGACCCATAGTCAAGGGATTGTAGTTCAGAGACTGTCTCTACTAAGATAGCCTAAAACTCAAAAGGGAAATACACCCTCCAGAAAGTAGGAGTAGGGTTGTACCTGTGCTTCACAAGAGATGACCCCAAGAGGCAATATAGCAAATAAAACCTGAAAGTTGCTGAGCCTCGTTCATGACCAAAGATAATAAATTAAAATAAGTATCTCTGCACTCCCAAGATTCATCTAAAATTGAAAAGTTTAGTGACTGGGATGTAGCTCAGTATATAGCACTTGCCTACTATGGACGAGGCCTTGAGTTCCATCCCCGATACCACAGGAAAAAAGAGAGCCCAAAGCTCATCTGGGCTGGTGTGAGCTGGGCCCAGAGCCCTGGCAAGCTCCTGAGTGAGTGGACTGGAAATGCCTCCGTGACCTGGTATCCACATCCAGAGCACACACTAAGGACAGATGAGACAGAAGTGTTGACTAGGCACATGTACAAGAGGGTCATCACAGCCCTTCTTTTGTGGCCCCGAGAGAGACAAGCCCATATGGCTATCCATACTGTGGGTGTACTCAGACAGAGGACCCTGGACAGCAATGACAGGACCTAAGCTCCAACCATAGGCCACCAGGTGAGCAACACACCATATTGAATATGTGGCTGTCACTCAAAAGTACATATTCAGCATGAGTCACTCAGTCTAGGGGAACAGGCAAAATCAACCAGGGCATCTGGGTTGCAGCTAGGTACAAAGCAGAGGCTTCTTCTGGGGAGGAAGAAGGCTGTACTGTGGGTGCACAGTGGGTTCTGGGGCTTCCCACAGTCTGCATTCCCCCAATGTAGTGGTCTAGGGGGTCCTTGTTAAAGTAGACACAGATGTGTTTTAATGACTTCTGTACAAGGTATTTAAAAATACAAAGGATGAAAATCTAAATAAAAACATATTTGTGAGTAAGGCCTAATCCTGGATACCCGGGTGATTCCAAAAGTCTATAGACACACTGGCCTCAGCCAAGGGAGACCCACAGGCATGACTCCCTGCTACTTGTGGTTCTGGGGGAGGGAGGACACCATGGTACAAGACAAGGACATGCCAGGAAGCAACCTGAGGGCCCCCTGCAGGCTCCATCCCCAGTGATGGATGCTCTGCACAAAAGATAGGAAAGGAAGGTCAGGAGTTGGCTGCCACCCCTTCTCTGAGCCAGCATACTTACATCCAGCTTCATCAGAGTGAGGAGGTCCTTCTTGGCAGCTCTGAAGATGGAGTCTGTCTTCCTGCTGGCACCAGTTTCATCACAGGGACTCTCCGAGTAGTGAAAGACAGCAAGGGAGCCTCTGCAACAATCACGTTTTTCTTGGACTTGAGATGAACAAAAATAACCATGAGAAGAGATGCTATGGGGAGACTATTTGAAGTTCAGCTCAGTGACTAACTGTTGATGCTGGTGGTACCCTGCAGTAGTAAGTAGGGGAACAGGCAGGGCCCCAACGGGATGGGTGAGAAAGAGAAGCTGGGACCTACCTTGCTGGCTACGAAGTTCCCAGGGTGCTCGTCTGAGTGCAGCAAAACTCTGGCACGGTTGTATACCATCCCCAAGTCTGAGGTGGCCCCTGCAAGGCCCTCTACAAACAGAGAAGAGATTAAACTCATTGCCCATATGTACAGACACATGGAAGGCAGACTGAGTATACCCTGAACATCTAACAGCACAAACCTGGTAAATAAGACTCGAATCTTAGAGGACAAGGCCACTTTGCCCACATGCATTTTTACCATTTCCTTAGTCCATTTTGTGTTGCTGAGGCTGGGCACTTTATAAGGCAAAGAAATTTATTTAGCCCACAAGTACTAGGGATTGAACCCATGCCCCGTGCAAGCATTCTGACACTGACCTACAACCCCAGTCCCAATGCCCCACCTCATAAAGCTTCTACCACCTGAACACAGTAACACTGGGGACTAAGCTTTCAGCATATGAAACACTTGAGGACAAACTATATTCAAAATTATAGCAATGGGGGCTGGTAGAGTGGTTCAGGTGGTTCAAGTGATTCAGGTAGAATGCTTGCCTAGCAAGCACAAAGTATTGAGTTCAACCCCCAGTTGATTGACAGTCTTTTTTTTTTTTTTTTTGGAGGTACTGGGGTTTGAACCCAGGGCCTTGCATCATTTGCCAGGCAGGCACTCTACCACTCGAACATTCCCCCAGCCCCTTTTGCTTTGGTTATTTTTCATACAGGTTCTCACATTTACACTGGGGCTGGCCTGAACTCCATCTTACTACTTACACTTTCCTCACAGCTGGGATGACAGCCACACACCACCACACTGGCCTCAAACCATGATCCTCCCCATCTTTGCCTCCCCAGTAGCTAACATTACAGGCATGAGACATAGCACATGCCCTGACAATCAACTTTTTTAAAAATTCATTTATTCATATGTGCGTACATTGTTTGGGTCATTTCTTCCCCCTGCCCCCTGTCCCCACCCTCTCCCCCCCATCCCCCCTCGCTTCCAGGCAGAACCAGTTCTGCCCTTATCTCTAATTTTGTTGAAAGAAGACATAAGCAATAATAAGAAAGACAAAGTGTTATTGCTAGTTAAGGATAGCTATACAGAGATTCCTAGCATTGCTTTCATGTACAAATGTGTTACAACCCAAGTTGATTCATCTCTAACTGATCTTTACATTGGTTCCTGATCCCCTTCTTGTGTTGACCTCTGTCGCTTTAAGGTTTCTGTATTAGTTCCTCTGGTGTGGGGACATCAACAGTTTTCATGTTTTGGGTTTTATACCTATCCCTATACCTCCTGTAAGTGCTCTCCCCTTGTCATGTGACCCAAGTCCAACAACACTGCTGTATTTGCCGTAGATCTAAAGTCCGCATATGAGGGAGAACATACGATTTTTGTTCTTCTGACAATCAACTTTTAAACAAAATTAAATACCAAACTTAGCAACTCTCTAGATCACTTTTCTGGATTCTGACAAAGTACATGGCCTTGGATAACACACATCCTGCCTACCATGTAGGAGCTGTGCACTAGTGACTTGACTAAGCTACAGTTTCATCATATAAAACATAGAATTCATAATGCCCATTTCTCAGGATTATTTTAAAGCTTGCACAAGCTGGTTGCCAGTGGCTTATGCCTATAATCCTAGCTACTCAGGAGGCAGAGATTAGGAGCATCACAGTTCGAAGCCAGCCTGAGCAGATAGTTCACAAGACCCTATCTTGAAAAAAAAAAAAATCACAGAAAAGGGCTAGCAGAGTAGCTCAAGTGGTAAGAGTGCCTGCCTAGCAAGCATGAGGTCCTGAGTTCAAACCCTGGTATGGTCTAAATGAGCTGTAAAAACAACAAACCACAGATGTACACAGTATGGGTCAATGTCAACCACATGCAGCTGAGTAAAGGGTGCCAGGCATGGGGTATGTCTGTGAGCCCTACTCATGGAAAGTTCCAGCAGAGCCAAAACCAGAGCCATGGACATGCAGACCCACAGGGAGGATCAGACCATGGAAATGGATGAAGGTCTATTCTGACCTATGATGGACACATGGGAGTATGCATCTATCAGAATTCATGGAGTTGTACACTTAAATTCTGTGTATCTCACTGTGTGTTGCTTATACCTCAATAACGTACTACCACTAAAGAAGCAACCCTATATCTGAAGCTAGTCTGTGATGACAAGGGTCTACAGTGCTTTTGCTGTGTGGAAAGCTGACTTTCTGGGTGGGTGTGGGAAGCTGACTTTCTGGGTGGGTATGAGAAGTGTACAGCTTCTTTTTGTTTTTCTTTTTTCTTTGGTGGGACTGGGATTTGAAGTCAGGGCTTTACTTGCAAAGCAGGCACTCTACTGCTTGAGCAACACCTCTAGTCCATTTTGCTGTAGTTATTTTGGAGATGGGGTCTCATGAACTATTTGCCCAGGCTGGCCTCGAACTGTGATCCTCCTGATCTCAGCCTCCCAAGTAGCCAGGATTACAGGCGTGATCCATGGTACCAGGCTGTATTCAGCTTCTTTGCCTGACAGCAGCCACATGGTGCACATCTGGCTGCCATGGTTATGTCTTGTCTTCTGATAAAGCATGCAGCTACAAGTGTTAAAGTGCCTGCCTAGCAAGCATGAGGCCCTGGGTTCAAACTCCAGTACAAAAAAAAAAAAAAAAAGCAGTGAAACTAAAGAACCTGTAATTATTGATTTAAACCAGCTCTAAGCAACCACACCAAACTATGCAGAAATTGTCAGTGAAGAGAATGTTCAGTTCTAAAAGGAAAGTCACTGGAGTATGGCCAGGGAAGTTGATCAGAGGGCAGCTGCTTTCATGGCCGCGTGGACAGATAGCATTTTCTGCCTGGAGCCTGGACCACACGATCTCCAGAAGATACTCTTCTGAGAGTAGTCAGTCACAGAGTGCTTATGGAACCAGAGAAAGTCCCAGGGCAGTGCCAGAGCCACAGAAAGCCCCAGGGCACTGAAGGACCCAGAGAAAGGAGTGAAGAGTCAAGAGAGGAACCCTTGAGATATGGCAGGTACCCTGTGAAAACCCTTGGCCTAGTGGTGGATCTGTACTGAAGTTTGATTGATGTTACTTAAGAGCAACCACAGTAACTATACTCCCAGCCCTTGGAAGGCTAGGAGAGAGAGATTATGAGTTCAAGACCAAAATGGGCTATTTAGAAAGCCACATCTAAAAAAAAAAAAGAGCAACCATGCTTTAAACATAACCCTTCTCATTCTGATAGGACACAGCTGAGTTCACATGAAAAGTATAAACAATGGGATTTACTGCTAGGAACTATGAAGATCAATGCCCACTAACTTTCTAAGATTATGTGCAGCTGTTTTTATCAAGGTAACAAGAGTCTGAAATGTTTAAGATCAACAACAACCTTCGTCCATGCTGAGATACTGGGTGTCCACATTATTAACTTATGATTAAATAACACAGACTACGATAATGTTCTATATTTTATTTTATTATTTTATTATAATATACAAATTATAATTCATAAGCCAAGGTGTTATGATACCAAAATTTATTTTAAAAATAAAGTCTGGGGCTGGGAGTGTAGTTGACTGGTAGAGCACTTGTCAAGCAGGTATGAAGGCCTAGGTTCAAGTCCTAGCACCACAAAAATTTTTTTTAAAAATTGATAAAAATAAGATCTGACCATACTCCTAGTGAGGAAATAACACATGTACATTAGAGATACGATATTTCTATAGAACACTATTTTTATAATAATGTAAGTGATAAAACTTAAAATGCTGGACATCTCTGCTTTTTGCCAGAAACATGTGCTGTAAGAGTGTATAATCTACTGGTAAAGCTGATCCACACCCTAGAAGCCAGTGGTAGGAACAGTCCACAACCTAAACATCAAGGGTGCTGGTAACAGGAGGGCAGGCACAGGCGTGCTGAGCACATGATATCTTTCATCTGGTAAGTTTGGTTTATGAAAATTCATCAAACTGCCCACTTACAGTATGTACATTCTATATGAATATTATACAACCATAACAAGTTAATTGAAATAAAAATGACAACTGACAAATGTACTAACAGAACATAAACAATACCTTGAAAATAGATCCACTAATGAAGTGTCCAGGTCAAGGAAATTCATTAAGACAAACAAGAGCAGTAGTTGCCAGGAGCTGGGAAGGACAAAGGGGACTGGCCACTAAGGGATGTGGGGTTCCTTATTGGGTAAGGAAAATGTCCTGGAGTTAGGTAATGGTAGTCCATCCACAATTTTGTGATTACATTAAAAATAATTAGATTGCATACTTTTTTTTTTGGTGGGACTGGGATTTGAACTCAGGGCTTCATGCTTGCAAAACAGATGTTCTACTGCTTGAGCCACACCTCCAGTTAGGACTGTATCCTTTTTTTTGAAGTATGAACTTACAAAATATGAACTATATATCAAAAAACATATTACTCAAAAAAAAAAATCCGTGCAGATTTGAGAACCTGATAACTAAAGAAGATGGCACTTTAAAAAGCCAGAGAGAAGGAGAACTGTTCCGTTAATGGCACTAGGTAAATTACCATCGTATGCAGTAAAAAAAGCTGACTTTCCTATCTCACATGCATGGTTCACACTACAAGAGTGGAAGCTAATAAAAAAGAATCTCAAGAATACATTTATGACCCAGGAGTAGGCAAAGATAAGTAAAATGCAAAACACAAATCACAAGGTGCCAAGAGGCTAGTTTTCAATAGAGGAACATTGATGATTCCTGCTAACTGAAAGGTCCCATAGTTGAGTTTTCTGACAGATGGAGTCGGGAGAAAGTGTTTGCAACAATTTAAGACCAAGGAGGGAAATAGGCACAGTAGCACACAGCTGTAACCCCAGCACTTAAGAGGCTGAGGCAGGAGGATTGTGACTTTGAAACCAGCCTGGGCTAAACAGTGAGTTCTGGCCAACCTGGGCTAAAAAGCAAGACCCTGTTTCAAAAAAAAACAAAAAAAAGACTCAGCAGGGATCTCTATGAGAGCACGCAAAACACCCAAAAAATCAATGCACATCAACTAGACAAGCTCCAGAAACCCTGCAGAATGTAGGCAAAGAATGCCATTAGACTGTTCTGAAAGAGAAATCAGACTGCCTTCAGATTAACCAGAGGCCATGGAGTTGCCAATTACCCATGAGTGATGAACAGCAAAATTAGAAGTGATGATGAGTGAGTGAGTTTGGAACAGGAGTGTGGCCACACTGCTAGGTGTGGATGGATGGACTTGTGGGGTTGCGTAGGCAGCTGCTCTTGAACCAGCTGCCCAACTGTGAGCTGCGCACTCACATGTTGCATGTTGGCCACAAGCAAGCTGAGGTTCAAGCAAAGGTCAACAGGGATGAGGAACGAAGGTGAAAGGAAAGAAGGGCTGCATGCTGCTGCTGATGAAGTGTACCGACCAAAGGGTCCAGTGAAGACTGCATCTGAGACCCAACAAGCTGAACAAAGGAAAGACCAAGGCAGGGAGGATGGGAAGGAACAAGTGCAGGAACCTCTAGGTGTTAGGCTGCAAACAAGAGAGCTGAGGAGACATGGAGCATGTCAGCTTACGGTGGGAGTGCCAGGGAGGGGAGCCTGACACTGGAGAAGGGGCCATCAGTGGTGGCATGTGGTGGATGGATATAGGGCCCCTGGAGGGAAGGCATCATGCACAGGGATAGTGAGGAATAAGGGTGTGCAAAGGTGCTCACCAGGATGTTCAAGGCAGGAAGATGCCCAACAATACCTCAACCAAGAGGCGAGAGTGTAGGCACAGGCTCCTCAGGGCCCACAGGCTCTCATCCACCTATAAATGGCACCAAGTTCAGGGCACCCACCTCCCTGGGCTGTACAGGAAGATAACACTGGGTTCAGGATCAGCTTAGAGCATCCCTCAGACACACAGAGCCCATCAGTACTGTCAGCTGGGCAGCAGTGGGGGTCCTTTACCTTGTGGGGCTGAAGGGCTAGGGTCCCCTGCCTGGGACTGCCCGAGCTCATCCGAGATCTCCCCGTGGACTGAAGGCAGAGGGGAGGAGCTGCTCCTCTTCAGCAGAGGCCCAGTGGCTGCTGGGCGGCTGCTCCCACGATCTAGGGGAGACAGGTGTAAGCCAATCTGGGCTCCCTGTAAGCCTCACGGTGCAACTTTAGCTCATGCAGACAGCTCAAGGAGCAGGGTCCTCACAGCAGCACAGGCCCAAGGACAGCCCTCCACAGTGCCTTTTGCAGCTGCAGACAAACTCCCTGATGAGGTTATTAGGCCACCTCATGTCAGCACTTGCCAAAGAGTGACAAGTGAATGTTGGCCTTAGATTGGTCCTGCTCTGTTCGCTCCAATCCCACATCCCTCCTGGCCACCTCTCTCCATGGTGCTCCTGAACTAACTGCCTCCTACTGCTCCCCAAGTGCCTTGAAGGTAAACCCCTGCTCCAGGGGAAGCTGCTGTTTGTCACTTTCTCCATGGCATTTTTGTAGAGGTGGCCATGAACACGCCTAGGGTAAACCATAGCTTCATGTTCCATCTGTCCTCAAAAGACCCTGGCCTTGCCCACCATGCGGGACACTCTACATTAGGCTTTTCTGTGACTGTAGAGGTCTATGAACCTCCCCAGCCCTGGTCTGTGCATAGACCCAACCTAAGACAACTGCCCTGTGCCAAGTGCCTCCAAAGGACATGCCCAAGGCATATCACTTAATATTGACCAAAAGACAAGAGAAGACAGCACTACTCAGGTGGAAAGACTTAAATAACACATTTTCTAAAGTACATTTCTGGGGAAAATGTGATCAGTCAGGGCTGGGTTTCAAGGTGACTGAGGTCCAAAGTCTCCTAAGGTGGGATCAACTGGGCAGTGGGACCAGGCTCTGGCCTTATGGGATCTCCACAGCACACATGAAGGAACATTTGCGTTCCAGCCCACTTAAACCCCAAATCCTGTTTTATCACTTAATATTGACCAAAAGACAAGAGAAGACAGCACTACTCAGGTGGAAAGACTTAAATAACACATTTTCTAAAGTACATTTCTGGGGAAAATGTGATCAGTCAGGGCTGGGTTTCAAGGTGACTGAGGTCCAAAGTCTCCTAAGGTGGGATCAACTGGGCAGTGGGACCAGGCTCTGGCCTTATGGGATCTCCACAGCACACATGAAGGAACATTTGCGTTCCAGCCCACTTAAACCCCAAATCCTGTTTTACATAATTTCACACACTTTTGTTAGCCACTTGAAATTCTCTTCAGAATATCACAGTTATTAAAACACTAAGGGCATATCCCCTATCTGTTGAGATGGCTTTATGGTAATGTTATGGCACAGGTCACCTGAAAATGACTCGTTTAGCACAAGCTTTACCAGTTTATTTCCTAGTCTAAGATGCTCTTGAGAGCTGGAAGCAATATGGTTAGAGAACAAAGTTAGGAACCTGCTCCCCTGGACATTCCCCAAGGCAACTCTCCCTTAGGGAAACATCGTGGGAACAATCAAAGAATGGAGGAAAAAGAGAGTCCTGTTTAAACAAGGGGTGAGCAGGGTACATGGCAAAGTGACCTGGAGACAAATGAGGAGACCTGAGGGCAGGTGAGGAGATCTGAGGGAAGTTGAGGAGACCTGAGGGCAGTTGAGGAGATCTGAGGTAGGTGAGGAGACCTGGGGCAGGTGAGGAGACCTGAGGGCAGGTGAGGAGATCTGAGGTAGGTGAGGAGACCTGGGGCAGGTGAGGAGACCTGAGGTAGGTGAGGAGACCTTATGTAAGTTAGGTGACCTGACGGTAGACAGAGCAACATGAGAGCACATGAGGAGATCAGGGATACAGGAGGAGACATGGGCAGTGGTAGGGAGAAGACTCTTGGCCTGGGGCCTGAGAGCTGCTCTCCTTAACGTGGGTAGTACCTGAGTCAGAGGAGTCCTGAGACCACGGTGGCCTCTCTAGCCACTCCTCTGGGCCACAGGACATCTGCCTTTTGGCTCGTCCAGTTGCCACGCTGGCTACAGACACAAGAGGGATGGCCTGGCTCTCCTGGGGATGAGAAGGGGCATTAGAGCTGCTCCAGAGGCTTCCCTTCCTCGGTCCCCACAGGCATGCCAAAAGAGAACCCTGGAAGAAACTTTAGCTACATCCCACACACTGAGAAGAAGCTATAATCACTAGGAAATGTGGGCTATTAGAGGACTGGCAAGTTTAAGCTCAGCTTGGGGCTGGTGGAGTGGCTCAGATGGTAGAGCACCTGCCTAGCAGGCATGAGGCTGTGAATTCAAGCTCCAGTACTGCTAGCTAGCTAGCTAGCTAAATAAATAAATAATAAATAAATAAATGGCTATTTCAAAAGAAAGCTCAGCCTGCTCTTCTCTGAGTTTGGCCTCAGACATTTCCTCCAGCCATAATAATGGCCCAGGTGGTCAAAACCCTTAAAACTCATTAGAGGGAAATT